GCCAGGCCTGCGGAGCCGGCATCCTGCGCCCAGCGAGGCGAATGCATCACACACTCACACACACACACAGACACACACAGACACACACTCACACAGACACACACTCACACACACACACACTCACACACACTCACACACACACAGACACACATACACTCACACACTCACACACTCACACAGACACACAATCACACACTCACACACTCACACACTCACACACTCACAGACACACACTCACACACTCACACAGACACACAGACACACACACACACACTCACACACTCACACTCACACACACACACTCACACAGACACACACTCACACACTCACACACTCACACACACAGTCACACACTCACACACTCACACAGACACACACTCACACACTCACACACTCACACACACACAGTCACACACTCACACACTCACACACTCACACTCACACACTCACACAGACACACACTCACACACTCACACTCACACACACACTCACACACACAGTCACACACTCACACAGACACACACTCACACACACTCACACAGACACACACTCACACACTCACACAGACACACTCCCACAGACACACACTCACACAGACACACACTCACACACTCACACAGACACACACAGACACACACTCACACAGACACACACTCACATACTCACACAGACACACACACACACTCACACACACACAGACACACACACACACATTCACACACTCACACACTCACACAGACACACACAGACACACACTCACACAGACACACACTCACACAGACACACTCCCACAGACACACACTCACACAGACACACACTCACACACTCACACAGACACACACAGACACACACTCACACAGACACAAACTCACACACTCACAGACACACACTCACACACTCACACACTCAAACACACACACAGACACACACACACACACACACTCACACACTCACACAGACACACACAGACACACACTCAAACACTCACACAGACACACTCACACACTCACACACACACACTCACACACTCACACACTCACACACACACACAGACACACACTCACACAGACACACACTCACACTCACACAGACACACACTCACACACTCACACACTCACACACACACACAGACACACACTCACACACACACACAGTCACACACACACACTCACACAGACACAGACTCCCACAGACACACACACACACACACTCACACACTCACACACAGACACAGTCACACACTCACACACTCACACACTCACACACACACAAACACAGACACACACTCACATTCACACACACAGTCACACACACACACTCACACAGACACAGACTCCCACAGACACACACACACACACTCACACACTCACACACTCACACAGACACACACTCACACACTCACACACACACACACACACAGTCACACACTCACACAGACACACACTCACACACTCACACACTCAGACACACACTCACACACTCACACACTCACACACTCACACAGACACACACACACTCACACAGACACACACAGTCACACACACACTCACACAGACACACACTCACACACTCACACACTCACAAACTCACACAGACACACACTCACACAGACACACACTCACACTCACACACTCACACACTCACACACTCACACAGACACACACTCACACAGACACACACTCACACACTCACACACTCACAGACACACACACACACTCACACACTCACACACACACACACACTCACACACTCACACACACACTCACACACTCACACACACACACACACACTCACACACTCACACACACACTCACACACTCACACACACACACACACACTCACACACTCACACAGACACACACTCACACACTCACACACTCAGACACACACTCACACACTCACACACTCACACACTCACACACTCAGACACACACACACTCACACAGACACACACAGTCACACACACACACTCACACAGACACACACTCACACACTCACACACTCACAAACTCACACAGACACACACTCACACAGACACACACTCACACTCACACACTCACACACTCACACACTCACACAGACACACACTCACACAGACACACACTCACACACTCACACACTCACAGACACACACTCACACACTCACACACACACTCACACACTCTCACATCCACACTCACACACTCACACACACTCTCACACACACACTCACACACTCACACACACACTCACACACTCACACACAGACACACACTCACACAGACACACTCACACACTCACACAGACACACACTCACACACTCACACACACACACAGACACACACTCACACACACACTCACACACTGACACACACTCAAACACTCACACAGACACACTCACACACTCACACAGACACACACTCACACACTCACACACACACACAGACACACACTCACACACACACTCACACACTCACACACTCACACAGACACACACAGACACACACTCACACAGACACACACTCACACACTCACACAGACACACACTCACACACTCACACACTCACACACACACACAGACACACACTCACACACACACATACAGTCACACACACACACTCACACAGACACAGACTCCCACAGACACACACACACACACACTCACACACTCACACACAGACACAGTCACACACTCACACACTCACACACACACAAACACAGACACACACTCACATTCACACACACAGTCACACACACACACTCACACAGACACAGACTCCCACATACACACACTCTCTCTCACACACACACACTCTCTCTCTCTCTTTCTCTCTCTCTCTCTCTCTCTCTCATACACACACACACACACACACTACGGCAGGCCCGCCCTGGGCTTTTAGGCCAATCAGACGGGAGGTGGGCCTGGCCGGTGGCCAAGCAGGGAAGTGCCAAGTGTGCTCCCTCCCTGCTGCCTGGCTCCTCCTGCCATGAGGCGTGAGGTGCCGTTCTGCCCAGCAGACCTTTCCCTGGGCCTGGGCAGGTGAGAGGCTGGGCCACCTGGTCTCCCTCCAGGCCCCCGTCCTTCAGGCTCCTGGAGAGGCAGTGCGGCCAGTGAGGGAGACCAGGGAGGCTTTCTGGAGGAAGTGCTCGCCGAGGTGGGCCCTGGAGGTGAGCGGCGCTGACCAGGGACCGAGACCTTGGGGTCGGGTAGGAAATGGGGGTGGGCATCTGTGCCTTTCTGTGACCACCATGTGGAAGGTGCCAGAGGAATCCCACGGTGCCTCTCCTGTCCCAGTTAACGTGTATCTTTAGTACAGGGGAAACTTTTTAAAAATTCAGAAGGCAGAGGAGTCTACAGTGCAAATCCCCTACCCAACGGCTTCCCAGTTCCCACCGCAGGGGTTTCGTATGAGCCTTCCCAAGACGGCCTCTCTATTCTAAGCACACACACACTCACACACATGCACGCATACACGCACGCACACACATGTACACCCACCCTCTCTCCCCCGATGGCGGCGTGCGCCACGCTCTGCCCCGCACCTGCTGTAACAGCTGGATTGCACCAGAGACCAGGCCTCCTCCCTCACGGCTTGAACAGCCGCGTTGTTCCCCAATGGGTGGATGTTACCGGCCCCTCTCAACGCCCATCTGCGTGTCTCCGGTCTTGGCTGGTGCTGACATGACCGTGCCTGCGTGCACATCTGTTCACACACGTGTGCGGACGCCTGAGGGGAAGCTCCCAGGGGAGGAATCGCCAGGTCCCCGCTGAGCAGCACTTGTCTGAGAGTCCTGGCCCCCCCCCACGCCCTCCCCACTCTGCACGTGTCCAATTTCGCTCCCCAATGCAATGCTTGGGGGTCCCTGCTGCCCCCAGCCCTCCCAGCACTTACCTTCTGAGCCCCCGTCATGGGCTGGTGTGGTTTGAGGCCCACAAGCCAGACATCGGAGTGGGGGGAGGGGGGTCAATGAGTAGGTGCTTTCTTCCTGACCCCAATGAGGGACTGTGTGTCATCCCGCAGGTGCGTGGGCCTGCGTGGCCTCAGTGCAGGGGCGCTGGGGTCTGCCCACTTGCAGCAGGCTCGGCAGGGAGCGGCTGTGCACACTCCTCCACCGGGGGCACACCCAGGGCCTTTGCACATGCTGTTCCCTCTGCTGTGACACCCTTCCCCCCCTCACCCAGGTGTTGACCACCTCATTGGGCCTCGGGGTCATGCCCAGCCAGCCATGCCTTCCTGGAGCCGGGTAGAACCGGCCCTGCCCTTCGGCACACATCTGGCGGCACCCATGATGTGTCTGCACGTGATGTGTCTGCCCGTGATGTGTCTGCATGTGCCTCTCCGTGGGACAGACCGACATGGACCCGTCTCTCCGCCTCACACATGCTGCCTGGCACACACTGGGTGTCCGCCCGTGCTGAACAGGTGGACCAATTAGAAAGTCCTGACAGGCTTTTATTGTTTTAAAATGCAAAATATAGAATGAGATCTGGGGGTGAGGTCCCAGGGGCGGGAAAGTAACAAACAGTTCCCAAGGCGGACAGCGTTCGGCGCTGTGAGACCAGCCCGGGGCCTCCCTGCCCGGCTCTGCCGACACGTGGGCGAGGCGGCTCTGTCTGGGGGCCGCCGTGCATTGTGGGAAACTCAGCAGCATCTTTGGCTCCTTCCCATGAGAGGCCAGTAGCGGCTTCCTGGTTGTGACAACAAAAACGTCTCCAGCCGTTGCCACGTCTGCCTCCGGGGGACAGAGACAGGGCGGGACTGAGACCCCGGGGCATGCACCGGGTAGGGTTGAGTCCAAGAAGCATGCCCTTTGCCGCCCTGCATTTGCCAAAGCCAAACCGCTCGACATTGGCAAGGCCCGCCCAGGGCTCCTGTCCAGCTCTGACCACCTCCACAGCCCCCAAAGCAGGACCACGTGTCCTGGCCCCAGGCCCCAGCTGCTGCCCGTCTCTTCAGGCGCCCGAAGGCTCGGCGTCCAGTCCCGAGGGCCCGCGGGCGGCCGGGAGCGGGCGGCGGGGGTCACAGCTCCAGCGGGGACTCAGTGACCCGGCGGCTGCCGCCGCGGACGCTCCGGCTGAGCTCCTGGTGGAAGGCCAGGATCCTGGCGGGGCTCCGCAGCTCGGAGGGCGGGGGGCCGGCGGCCTGGGGGCCCGGGCAGGACACGCCGCCTCTGTCCAGCAGACGCTGCGCAGGGAGTCCCGACGCCTCCGTGGCCACGGCCGGGCGAGGTCCAGGATCAGGCGCCGGCCCCGGAGGCAGGGGAGGCTGGAGGCGAGAGCATCGTGACAGGCCTCTGCTCCCCGCGCCCCTCGCTCCCACACATTCCCGGGGGCAGATGGCGAGGAAGCTGCCATTTCCCAGCACTTTCCGTGCCCGACCCCAAACACGCCTCCCTCTGAGCTCACGTCCTTCTGCTGAGCTCCCTGAGGCCCACACCATCCCCCGGGCACAGGAGAGCAGAAGAGATGGGGGACCCATGTCACCCAGATGCCTGCCCAGACACCTGGTGGTAGACCCCATGGAGCCGATGTCCTCTGCAAGCCTCCTTGTTCCCAGTGACAAGAGGGGTGACCCTTCCCATCAGGAGGAACCTGTCTCCGGACACCAGCCTCCTGCCCAGCCCTGCCCTGCCCTGCCCTGCCCAGCCCCCCTCTGCCCAGCCCTGCCCTGCCCAGCCCCCCTCTGCCCAGCTCTGCCCTGCCCTGCCCTGCCCAGCCCCCCTCTGCCCAGCCCTGACCAGCCCTGCCCTGCCCAGCCCCCCTCTGCCCAGCTCTGCCCTGCCCTGCCCTGCCCTGCCCCCTCTGCCCAGCCCTGCCCAGCCCTGCCCTGCCCAGTCCCCCTCTGCCCAGCCCTGCCCTGCCCACCCCCCTCTGCCCAGCTCTGCCCTGCCCAGCCCCCCTTTGCCCTGCCCAGCCCCCCTTTGCCCTGCCCAGCCCTCCTCTGCCCAGCCCTGCCCTGCCCTGCCCAGCCCTGCCCTGCCCTGCCCCCTGGTGGTAAGCTCACTCCCACAGTGGAGCAGTGCTCAGAGGCGGGTCCGCAGCCGCTGGGCTGAGGGGTGAGCAGCGCTCCCATGGGGGCCGATCCCTCAGGTCCCGCCCCCTCCAGTGCACGAATCCCTGCCCCGGGCCTCTAGCCTTGCACTAATGATACCAGTTTAAACCCTCTGAAACCTGCGTTTATAGGGAGAGGGTGGTATGACATCAGCAATTTCATAGGGTTCAACCCATGGCGGTGAGCATTTGCTGAGCTCTTATGCAATGTGTCCATTTGCTCTTTAACCAGAAGGGAGAAGTGACATTATCCCACTACACAGCTGAGGGAGCAGAGGCCCAGAGGGATCTGACTGGCCCAGGGCCACAGCTCCTGTGGAGGCAGAGCGAGGCTTTGAACCCAGGCTGCATGGCTCCCAGGCTGCACCATTCGCCGCTCAGTCTGCTGCTGCCCAAGGCAGGGATGAGGGGTCTTCGGTGGGAGATGAACGTTTCCTCAATCCTCCGAGGCTCGCCGGCCCCTTCAGCATATTGGGAGTGTTTTAGGCCCCGCCTTCCTCCCCCCCTGAGCTCAGCCATAAAACAACGGTGATGGTGGTGATGCAGCTGCTGTGACCTTCCACTGTGACCTCGCTTTGCTTAGCGGCCACCCCTCCCCTGGCGTCCTTATCAACCAATGGGATTCCGCCGCAGGAGGCTCCGGGGTCCAGAAACCCAGCTTGCGAGCCCCGGCCTCCACGCCCACCACACGGACAGAGCCAAGGTGGGGGCGTGCGGGGCGGGGCGTGCGGTGTGGCCGTGAGAACCAGGCTCCTGCATGGCTCCCAGAGAAACAGCCCAGCAGGCCCCGCCCCCCCCCCCCCCCCTCCCCCAGTTCTCCATCCCATCAGGCCTTGCTGAGGCTGCCTGTGGCCCAGGTGAAGCATGGGACGGGACGTCCCAGGGACAGCGCCATCTAACCGCACAGAAGCTGAGTGAGGTCACGTCAATAGCGGAGGCGTTTCCACCGTGACACCCAGTGGGAGCCTCGGGCCCAGGAGGGCCAGGTGCTCTCCGGTCCCTCCATTGATTTCATCTGTGCTCTACCTGCTCCCTCCACAGGTCCCCCTCACGGACTCCAGGTGGGCGCACCCAGGCAGGCGGGCGGGACCTCTCCTGTCTCCCCTCCCCCAATGCCGGCCCAGCACCATCGGGCCTCAGATGACCAGAGTGCCAGCTCCAGAGCCAGGCTGCCCAGGTGGAACCCCCACTCTGCCCCGTCCTCACTGTGTGACCTGGGGTCAGCGATCCACCTCCCTGTGCCCCCCCTGCCCCCCCCCGCCCTTTCTCACAGGTAATGTGGAGCTAATGATGAGAATCACGTGATGGGCCAGGTGAGTACTGGATAAGCCAATGGTCGGCAAACTGCGGCTCTGGAGCCACATGCGGCTCTTTGGCTCCTTGAGTGTGGCTCTTCCACAAAACACCACGGCCTGGGCCAGTCTATGTTGAAGAAGTGGCCTTAGAGGAAGTTTAAGTTTAAAAAATGTGGCTCTCCAAAGAAATGTCAATTGTGGTCCTGTTGCTATTTGGCTCTGTGGACTAATGATTTGCCGACCGCTGGGATAAGCGAATGCGTTGCACCCAGGCCCAGCACCTGGGAGCATTCAAGAAGGGAGGGGTGAGGGGAGAAGGAGGGGAGGCTCTTTCTCATTCTGTTCTTATCCGCAGCATGCTTGAGGCCTCGGAGCCTCCTGTCTGCACTCCACACTGCCTGCGGCAGCCATGCTTGATGCTTGCATCACCCCCCATAATTCACAAGCCCCTCTGTCTTGTGGGTGCTGCTCCTTTCTGTGCCTTCTACCTGCCCGAGATGGCACAGGTCGAAGATCAAATGTCAGAAAAGGAGCCACGCAGGAAAGGTCTTATTCCTGGGCAGCAGGCCTGGAGGCACGTGATTGACCGCGAAAGCCACCCATCGGGGCAGAGAGTTCCAGGTCAGCGACAGGCTGTCCCCTCGTGCGGGGCAGTGCCTCCCCCGTGTTCCAGGCCCGTCCTCAGCCCTGCCTGCCTCGCCTCGTACAGCAGCAGCGGCATTAGCCCCGCTCCCAGGTGAGGGGAGTTAGGAGCACGGGGGGATCCCGCCCGCACCCCCTGAACCGCAGCTGGGATGGGAACGCAGGCCGCTCAGACCCAGAATTCGTCACATCGGTTTCCTCTGAATTCAGAGAGCTGCCCCAGCTCTGACCGAGGCGGGCATTTTGGACCAAACCTCCGGGAAGGACGATGGGGAAAGCTGAACGAAATGTAACATAAGAGCTCTCTGCCCCGTCTGAGAGCCCCGGGGACTGCGCGGGTTTGGGGGCCATCACCGGAAGCAGGAGAGAAGCCGGGGGCCGCCTGTCCCCTCCGCCGCGGGGGAGGGCGGGTCTGCGTGAGGGTGACGGCTGAGAGGCGGGAAGCCGAGCAGAGCTCCGGGGGCTACGGGGAAGGACGCTAAGAAACACGCCAGGCTTTGCCTGGGACCCTGAAAGGCTCTGCCCTCGGAATCAGTGTGAACAGAGAGGAAGCGGACCCCCGAGCACGGAAGCAGCTGGTGTGAGGGGTCTGCACCGGCCCAGCTTCCTGTCAGAAGCTACAGGAATCCTCTCTGGGTACAGATAATACCAAGCTCAACCTCAAAGGATGATGTTTGCACAAGTGTTCGTACACAGTGTCCAGCACTCGCTGAAAAACAGCCAGACACAGAACATACGATTTACTGAGAAACACAAACTGGCCCAGCAAGGTGTAGCTCAGTGGTTGAGCATTGTCCCCTGCACCAAGAGGTCGCCGGTTCTAGTCCCAGTCAGGGCCCGTGCCCCAGGGTTGCGGGCTCGATCCCCAGTAGGGGGCGTGCAAGAGGCAGCCGATCAATGATTCTCTCTCATTGATGTTTCCATCTCTCTCCCCCTCTTCCTTCCTCCCTCTCCCTCCCTCTCTCTCTCTCTCTCTCTCTCTCTCTCTCTCAGACCAATAAAAACATAGAGAATAGAGAGACGAGGAGAGGAAACCAGTGTTGTGGGGTTGGCCATTTTCTCCTCCTTGACCTGGGGATGCCCTCACAGGTGTGGGAGGCCCTGGGATAGTCACGGAGCTGCCCACGCCCGTGTGTGCCCTCTATGTGCGTCATACCTGCCGTGGGAAGTGTATTTAAGAATGTCCTCTCACCTCCGGAAGATCCAGTCGTGCTGTCTGTGCTGGCCACTCCGCCTCCGTCACCGGCCAGGGCTCGGGACACCACGGTCCTGGGAGGGCGCTGTCCACGCCAGGACTCAGGAGAGCGCTCTGAGCTGAAAGGAAACGGTCTCAGTCAAGCCTCCACCAGAGTCCAATGTCAACACGTCCCTGAGCCTTGTCCTCACCCTTTCATTCCGACCCCCACGCCCGCGATCGGGCCTGGAACTCTCCGCGCCTCCTCCACACGCCTCCGATGGCTCTGCCATGGCCTTGGGCAGCCGGAGCACTGCCTCCCGACCGCACCTTCCCTGCCTGCTGCGGGCCCTTCTGCTCTGGGGCCCGCTCCCACCTTCCTCCTCCTTCCCCTTCCTTCCTTCTTTCCTCCTCCCTCCTTCCTTCCTTCCTTCTTTCATTTTATTTATTTGTTTGTTTGTTTGTTTGTTTGTTTGTTTAAAACATGTATTTTATTGATTTTAGAGCAAGAAGAAGGGAGAAGGATAGAGAATAGAAACATCGATGAGAGGGAAGCATTGATTGGCTGCCTCCCGAACACCTGCTATACCTCCTACTGGGGAGCGAGCCCACAGCCTGGGGATGTGCCCTGACCAGGAATCAACCAGCGCCCTCTTGGATCCTAAGTCAACGCTCAACCACGGAGCCCAATTCGGTGGCCCACTTCCTTCTTTTGAGGTTGAGGAAGCCGAGCCCAGACAAGGAGGGAGACTTACACCAACTAATGGCCAAAGCAGGACCACCAAAATGTGTGCCCCCCAACTGTGAGAACAGACCGGCCACAAGCTGAGGACAATCTCTCCTCTGGGTCAGGCCCTGGACACCCCTGAGAAAGGCCACATGACCGCCTTTGGAAGACCAGCATCGGGGGCTCAGAGAGGCCAACGGGCTCACCCAAGGTCACCAGCTGTCAGAACGGAACCCTGAAGGGGGCGCCCCCCTCGCTGCCATCTGAGCCGAAACAGCTGTTCTTACTGAGCTCACCAGAGTGCCTGCTGCCTCTCGCCTTACAAGGCTTTTATTTTCAGGGGAGCAGGGGAGCTGCAGGCTGGGGAGCTGGGCCATTCTGCAGCGGCAGCATTTTTCTAACCTGCTCTCCTGAGCTGTGACGCGAAGGCAGCATCAGTAGGGAAGGGAGGGGGCAGGGGGAGTGGCTCGGCTCCTCCTCGTGGGCACTGACATGGGTGCTTCCCTGCCTCCCCTCCTCCACAGGTCAGAGCCCAGGGCACGTCCTGCCTGAGCCGCGCTGACCTGTCGCAGCTGCTGGCATCTCCGGCTCCACGGCAGGGTGGCGGCTGGTCTGGAAGAAGAGACATCCCCGTGGTTAGTCTGCGCGACCGGGAGGGAGCTCACACAGGTGGCCCCGGACAGAGCAGGGCCGCATACAGCGTTCTCCCCAGCTTCCTGCCATGGACCCACAGAAAGGCCGGCCAGGCCTGGGCAGGGGAACAGGCCCGCCGCTCACTGGCCAGGTCAGCTGACCCAGCCCGCCCCTCCCTCCCAGGTGGAGACCAGCACTTGCTTGCAGGGTTTTGTTAGAACCGAATGAGAACGGCTAACTGCCCCCAGGAGAGCAGGCAGATCAGGCCTCGGCCTAAGGCCCCGCCCCCCACGTACATTTTGGGGGAATATTCTAAACTTCCTGAAAGGCAGGCGCTAAAAGGACCAAATTGCCTGGGTCCCCAGAGGCCCAGCTGGGCTTCTGGTTTGATGAGTGAGGGGGGTGTAGGCCTCTGGGTCTCACTGTGGCGTTTTAAAGGAGCCTCTCCTTCTGCAGGCTGGGATCTGGGGCTTGTTGACTGAGCCCCAGCAGAGAGCAGGACGTTTCCAGAAGGAAGAGAGAGGCAGAGCGGGCAGGAGGAGGCCACAGGGCAGCTTCCTGGCCAATCAGCCAATCATAGCCTCTGTCTTCCCCGTGCCCCCCTCCCCCTATGCTCCGGGCTGTGGCCCAGAGGACAGGCTGTGGCCCAGCCCCCTCCCGCCCCCCCCACTCCCCCAAGGAAGACAAGCTCCGGGTGTGCTCAGTAAACGTCCGTGGGATGCAGTGGCAGAGCTGGGTTTTGTGGTTTGGGGGGGGATCAGTGAGGCGTTCCCAGATCGTGAAAATGGGGTTATTCTTAGACAGCTGGATTTTAAAATAAAGCAAGACAAGTCCGCAGACTCAGTGACCTCAGAGGGAGTGGACGCTTATAACTGGCCAGGGCCTTTCAGAAGGTCTGGGGAGACCCCGGCCCACGGGGAGACGTGTCCGGGAGCAGGGGCACCTCCTCCCGGGAAATAATGCAAGGTTGTGCTCAAACTGTGCCCGGAAAGATGGACAGGAACTGGAGGGCAAAAGGATCTTGCCAGAGGAAGTGGCATGTGCCAAGGTCCTGAGGCACATGGGAGAGAGCCGTCTGGGGAAGCAGGCACAGTGCCAGGGCGACCCTGAGCTTCAGCCGCTGCGGGTGCGTCTGTCTCCTGCATCGTGTTGTGAGCTTTAGGGTAAGGATGGCCACACCCCCTCCCACGCCAGCCCCCAGCGTTCGGGGCGTGTTCCCCGCGGGATCGGGGCACAGGGAGGAAGGGGGGCAGGGCAGGCCAGCAGGTGGTGGGGCCACTTGCCCAGCCCCACAGGAGGAGGGACAGGGCTGCCCCGGGAACTGACCTCTGGGGCCCCGGGCGGCAGGAAGGCGGCCGTGTACTCGGCCAGCGCCACGTCGTCCACCAGGCTGCGCACCGTCTGGCAGAGCAGGCGGTCGGCTGGTCCGTGGCGGCTCAGCTCCCCCAGCAGGTGTGTGAGCAGCCGGTTCCGGTCCCGGCACTTCTGGACCAGGGAGGCCAGCTTGGCCTGTGGGAGAGACGCAGCCCGTGGGTCCTCAGACATAGGGCGTCCAGGGGCTGGGCATCGGCTCCCTATTCTGGACCCCCACCCCCGCCTTCGCAGCCCTCCCTCAGCCCTCCCTCAGCCCTCCCTCCACCGGAAGCCAGAGTCCCGCTGACAGTTGCCTGAGTTGACAGCAGGATGGCTTCTCTCGACTCCTCGCCTTGCCCATCGGCACAGTGGGCATCGTGAAGGGCACCAGGACCAAAGGAGACAGTGCAGGCAAAGCACCCGCACAGGGCTGGCCACTCAGTCCCGGAACCTAGCCATTCCGGTCCGCCATCACTGACTCTTCGGCCTGCACCCTCCAGCCCATCATGGCCCGGCCTCCTTCTCATCGTCCTGTTCCCATCACACTGGCCACCCCCAGCCCAAGCCCAGCACTTCCTGGTCACTCCTTCGTGGCTCCCACACGCCCCAAGTGCAGAAAAGCCAGATCACCTCTCCAGAGGCCGGCCTGGTCACCTCCCTGGGTGTCACTTCCCCAACAGGCCTCCCCATCTCAGGGCTGGGTGTCCCTCTGTCCCTGGCCCCGGCTTCCTGCTGTCCCTGCAGGTAGCCATACTGCCGGCCTGGCTTCCCCATGGCCTGGAGCACCTCCAGGTCAGAGCTGGGCCCGGCCCTGTCACATGTCATCACTGGGCACCGTGTGGCCCTCGGGACGGATGTGTTCCATGAATGACACGAGTGGAGGAGTGACAGGCCTGTCCTGCCCAGGGAGACCCTGCGGGGAGCCCTCCAATCTTGGGGGGGGGGGGGGGGAGACGGGACGGCACTGACCTCTGGGGCTCAGGGTTGTTGGCGTGTCAGTTTCCCGGCAGTGGTGCCAGGCTGCCCGTGTAAGACACCCAGAAGCGAGCCCAGGCACACGCCACAGGCAGCGGGTTTGGGAGTGAGCGCCGTCTGTCCCTCTCCCTCCCAGAACTCTCACAGGACATCCCATCTCTAACGGGAAATAGCTTTTCTGAGAGTGCAGGCACAGCACCGCTCAAACGTGTTACCTTCAGAGGGGTCACGGCCAAGGTGGCCTCGTGCTGCTGTCTCTGAAGTTCGTCCACCTGGAACAGACCGAGCTGTCAGGGCTGAGTCGCTGCCCCATGCCCCTGCCTCCCCCGGGGGCTCCCCCAGGCCGCTGTGTCCCTCCTCTCCCACAGGAAGTCCCGGGGGGACGCCTCTCCCATCACCGGTCACCCCGGCAGGGTCGGGAGCAGGGGCGCCCTGAGCACGGGCAAGCAAGCCCCACGCCAACTTGGCCACCCCTCCTTCCAGGAAGGAAGCCTTCCGGGTCCCTGCCGGGTGCCAGAGCCCCTGGCTCCACGTGACACCTGCAGGTTCCCGGCCAGATGCCCAGGTCTCTCCTCCGGGCCCGGCCACGCCCTGGGACGGCAGCCTGTGCCAGCCCCTTTCTCTGCCTCCGTTCTCCATCTGTGGGGAACGTTAGTGACATGCAGTGGTGGTGACTGCAGCCAGGACTCCGTGAGTGAGGGCCAGGCCTGGCACCCAGGCAGCTCCCCAGGACTGTGCACCAGGGCTACCATCTGGCCAGAGGGGCCAGGCACGGAGAGACGCTGCCTGGGCCCTGCAGCCCCACCCAGCGCCAGCGGAACCAAGAGACCCGGTGCCTGTGGGGCAGGACCGCCCAGCCAGGCCACCCGAGTGCCTGAGCCACAGCTCAGGCTGGTCACTCACCCTCCTGTCCCCACAAGCAAAGTCCTTCTCCCCTCCCACCTCTCTGACCCTGAGCACACGCCGGAATAGAATGTGAGAGGATGGATATGAAGCTACATGCAGAATGCCTTCCATCTTGGTTTCGTTTTGTTGTTTTTTGTTTGTGTTGTTGTCGTTGTTAATCCTCACCCAGGGATATTTTTCCATTGATTTTTAGAGAGAGTGGAGAGAGAGGGAACGACAGAGAGAAACACATTGATCGGCTGCCTCCTGCACATCCCACAATGGGAACAGAGCCTACAACCCGGGCATGTGCTCTTGACCGGAATTAAACCCGGGACCGTTCAGTCCACAGGCCGATGCTCTATCCACTGAGCCAGACCGGCTAGGGCTCATCTTGTTGTTGTTGTTGTTTTCCATTTGATTTAATACCACGGTGTGATTTCCATGTCAACACAAACGGACCACATTCTTTCAAAGTCCTGCCTATTCCTTCATCAAGAGGCCGAAACATAACTCATTAGCTAATTCTTATTCTGAAAATGCATATTGTTCCTGCTTCTCTATCTGCAGACCAGCGGCCACTGGACCTGTATTTCGGCTCCTTTCTGGATAAGCTCAGGGTAAAGGCCAGCTCCCAGCGGACTGTCCGTCACCGAGAGGCACCCGGTGAGTGGCAGGCGTGGGGTAAGCCTTCTCTCCGCTTCGGTTCAGGAAATGGCCTGACTCCATTGCCGAGAGCTGTGTACTGGCCGTTTCCGGTCACAAAGTCAAAGAGAGGAAAGTGAGAAGACCACAGGTGAGAGAAGACATTTCCAAATCAGATCCCGAACGAGGGACATGTGTCTAGGACATACAGCAAATTCTTACAGCTCAACAACAGCCAAAGGCAACTACACAACGCACAGAGGGTCTGACCGGCTTTCTCCAAAGAAGATCTACGAATCTCCAAGGAGCACGTTTTAAAACGGAGGTAATTACAGCTTCACATGCAGCTGTGAGAAGCCATGCAGAGACCGGATATCCCGCTGGTTTCCCCTGAAGGGAGCATTTGCCACCAAATAATGTCAGTTCCATTACCGTATTTTCGGGCGTATAAGACGACCCCCTAATTTTACAGTTAAAACACAGGTTTAGGCCTATATTCGCTGTATAAGACTACCCCCCACTTCCGAGGCAACACCAATTCTTTTTTTAATAGACCGCCTCTCTGACTCTGGCCAATCTGAGCAGTGTGTTCTAGTAAAAAGCCTGCTCAGATTGGCCAGAGTCAGAGAGGCGGTCTATTAAAAAATGAACTAGTCTTATACAGGGAATATAGGCCTAACCCTATGTTTTAACTGTAAAATTAGGGGGTCGTCTTATACACCGGAAAATACGGTATATAGATACACCCCACCAGCTTCATTCAGGCTTTTCCAGTTTGCTTGTGTGTGTGTGTGTGTGTGTGTGTGTGTGCATGTCTGTCTCTCTGTGTCTGTGTATGTCTCTGTGTCTGTGTGTGTGTCTGTCTGGGTATGTCTGTCTCTGTATCTGTGTCGGTCTATGTGTCTGTGCGGGTATGTCTATCTATCTATGTCTGTGTATACATGTATCTCTATGTGTCTCTGGGTACGTGTACATGTGTTTGTATCTCTGTATGTGTCTATCTGTGTGTCTATGTGTATCTGTATCTGTGTCTAAGTGTATGTCTAAGTGTCTCTGTGTGTGTGTACGTGCGTCTGTGTGTTTATGTGTGTCTGTGTTTGTCTCTCTGTGTGTGCCTGTGTATATCTCTGTATGTGTACATGTGTGTCTCTCTGTGTGTATGTCTATCTATGTCTATATATATGCATGTCTATGTGTCTCTCTGTGTGTGTATGTGTGTATGTCTTTCTGTGTATACCTGTGTGTGTGTGTGTGTGCGTGTGTCTACCTGTGTGTCTATGTGTATCTGTGTGTGTTTACCGGGCTGTATACAGTTTTATCACCTGTATAGATCCCCACCACACACACACACATCCTTGAACAGGCCTGACGCCACCGGTTCTGTGTTCTTTTTAGGATGGACAGGTGCGCTGCCTGGAGGTTTTCTCCCTGTGCTACCCTGTGCTTTGTAAACCTGATAGAGACTAACCAGTTGCTGTCGATGGCCACTGAGGGCTGACCTGGCTCCTTTTCCTGTTCTCACACCCTCCCCGAGGGTGGCCGGTGCAGAGGAGAGGCCGCCCGCCCGCCTACCTGGCCCTGGAGCTGGTCCCGGTGTCGGAGGGCCTGGTCCCGGGCCGCCTGCAGCTGCCGGCCCGCAGACGCCTGGTCCCGGAGCTGGCACTGCAGGGTGAGCACCTGGTGGTGGAGCCGCCGGACACGCAGCCAGAGGGCCTCCTCGGGGGTCTCGGCCTCAGCGTCCGGGGGCTGCGGGACACAGACTCGGTTCGGTGACAGTCTCAGCTTACCTGCCACGCCATTTGCCTTCACAAATGCGTTTTCTGTCGTTGGTCCTCACCCGAGAGTAAGGTTCCGTTGGTTTTTAGGGAGAGGGGAAGGGAAGGGAAAGAGAGAGACACACAATGTGAGACAGACCATCTCCTGCTGCCTCCCGGACACACCCCACCGGGGACTGGGGCTGTAACCCGCAACCGAGGTAGGTGCCCGTGACCGGGAATCAAACCCGAGCCCCTTCAGTGCTCAGGCCCGCGCTCTAACCACTGGGCAACAGCGGGCAGGGCAAGCGTTTTCCTCTTATGCTTTCCTAACAGTTAAGAACTTGGAGAACGCCAGACTGGTTTGGCTCAATGGATAGAGCGTCGGCTTGGGAACTGAAAGGTCCCGGGTTCGATTCCGGTCAAGGGCATGTACCCTGGTTGCGGTTATATCCCCAGTAGGGGGTGTGCAAGAGGCAGCATGAGAGATGACTCTCTCTCATCGACATTTCTGACTCTCTATCTCTCTCCCTTCCTCTCTGTACAAAATCAATAAAATATATATTAAAAAAATGAAATATATTTAACATTTAAAAAAAAAAAAGAACTTGGAGAAGATAAAAGGGCAGAAATCACTCCTCATCCTGTGAGCTGGTATCACCGTCGTCAGGGCACACGTGTGTTCTTCCCCTTTGCTCTGTGCTCGTACACACACGCTCATATCATGTGTGTGAGTGCAGGGCCCGTGCTGGGCTCCTCCAGGGTGGATGTTGGGCGCAGGTCTGGGAAGCTGAGGTCTGACAGTAATGTTTTAGAACATTGTTTTCAGAAACGCCTCTTCCACCTGTATTTCAAAGGCCTGGGGTCTGATTTACAGCCGCCGGCCGGCCACCATTCCCTAGAGCTCAGGGTGGCGAGTGGTTCCATGTCAAACCCAACTCTGAGCGGCTCATTACGGGGTGCTTCATGGTGCGTTTGTAGGAAACGTAAGATGCTGCGTTTTAACAGCTTTCTTTTAAAACGATGTGTTTTTATTGATTTCAGAGATGGGGGGGGGGGAACATCAATGATGAGAGGGAATCATTGATTGGCCATGGAGCGTGTAACCCCCAGGAATCGAACCCTGATCTCCTGGTTCTATGAGCCATGCGGCCGGGCTAAAGAGATTTATTAAACCGGTGCACAGCGGTCCCTCACACTGTGGGCCCAGCGCAGGCGCCGGAGGAGGGAGGCCGTGGGAACTGTGGGTAAGTAATTGGGATGCTGCTGCCCCCAGTGGCCTGGAGTCTACATTGTTATTTCTAAGAGCATTTATGCAGACACCCAGGCGTGCACATACATACACGCATGCCCACATGTCTGTTTCTTTCCTTGTTTATATATATTTTATTGACTTCAGAAAGAAAGGGGGAGGGAGAGGGAGAGAGATAGAAACATCCAGGATGAGAGAGAATCATGGACCAGCTGCCTCCTGCACGCCCCCTACTGGAGTTTGAGCCCTTGACTGCAATCAAACCCTGGACCCTTCAGTCCCCAGGCTGACGCTCTACCCACTGAGCCAAACTGGCTAGGGCTATTTTTCTATAATACATAAAACTCAGTCTATATCTCTGTGGCTCTGCTCCTTCGGCCACACAGGGAGCAGCTGTCCATGTCACGGAGGAGGCTGAAGGTGCGGTGTGCGGCCCTGTGCCCGCTGGGAGCTCAGGTTAGCCTGAGACACGCTCCCTGACTCCCTGAGCCAGCGTGTTCTCCCGGCTCAATGGCGGGGGTTGCGCCTCCTCTCGGAGCTGCGGGAGGGAGGGTGGCATGTCTAGGGGGAGGGGTGCGGGCACAGTCTAGACCGTTAGCACGAGGAGATGAGGGAGCGACGCAGTCAACCTACCTGGTGGCCACCACCCGGGGGCGCCAGCGCGGGCCCCGGGCCTGCAGAACGCCGCGGTCCAGTCTCCTCTCTCCCCGCCTGGGCCTCCTGCGCTCCCATCCCGCGGACGTCTCCTGGCAGGGCTCCGGGCACCCCCGCCCTCCCGGCCAGCGAGGGAGTGGCCGCCTCGGCTCCGCGCCCGGGACGCTCTGTGCCCGAGGAAGGGCCCATCCTCCTTTCTCCGGGCTGATCTGTGTCCTCCTCCCAGGGCGGCCCAGGGGCTCCCGCTGTCAGCGGCTCTGAGGGCGGACCGGCCTGCACTGCCTTGTCCACAGCGCCCACCTGGCCCACAGCGCCCACCTGGCCCACGGCGCCCACCTGGCCCATGGCGCCCACCTGGCCCATGGCGCCCACCTGGCCCACGGCGCCCACCTGGCCCACAGCGCCCACCTGGCCCACGGCGCCCACCTGGTCCACCGTCCCCACCTGGCCCACGGCACCCACCTGGCCCACGGCGCCCACCTGGTCCACCGTCCCCACCTGGTCCACCGTCCCCACCTGGCCCACGGCGCCCACTTGGTCCACCGTCCCCACCTGGTCCACGGCGCCCACCTGGCTTCTCCCCCGGGGGCACTGCTCTGCTCCCCCCGGGTGCCCCGCGCCCGCGCTCCCCCGCAGGGCGCCCCCCCTCTCCAGGGCCCGGACCCGGTGCAGCAGGTGGGCGTTCTCCCCGCGAAGGGCCCGGACCATGTCCTGGATCCCCAGCACCACGTCCCTGACCAGCTCCCTGTAGCCCAGCCCCAGCTCTGAGATCAGCGCCTTGAGCTCCCGGTTCTCCCGGGCGGCGTCCCCGGCGAGGCCCCGGCCGTGCCCGGCGCCCGCGGCCACGGCGGCCTGCAGCCGGCCCAGGCCCCGCCGCAGGCCCTCGTTCTCCTCCTCCAGCTCGGAGAGGCGGCTGTAGCTCCGGGCGTTGCAGTCCTCCAGGTCGGCGAGGAGCTGCAGGTACTGGGCCTGCTCCCCGCGCAGGCGGGACAGCTCGCCCCGCAGCGCCCCCAGGTCCCGCTCCAGCGCCCGGGCCCTGCCTGCCTGCCGCTCGCTCTGCGCCCGCAGCGCCCGGATCGTCCCGCGGCCGCGCTCCCCGTCCCGCCGCAGCCGGGCGTTGTCCTGCAGGACGCGGCGCCTCTCCTCCTTCAGCCCTGACACCAGCTGGCGGAACCGCCTCCTGGCGCGCTCCAGGGCTCTGGGGGGCGGGCGGGGGCTCGGGCCCAGCTCCGAGGGCCCCCCTGGGCCGGGGCGCGGGTCCCCGGAACCGAGGCCCGCCCCTGGGAAAGCGAGCCCGGGGCCCGGGGCCTCGGCCTCTCCTGGCCTCACGTCTTCACGACCCTCCGAGGGGCCTGCTTCCTCCACGGGACACGTGTCCAAACCCTCGGCAGGCTCCGGGCCCCCGCCCCGTCTCCCGGCAGAGCCCGTGTCCTCCCCGGCCCCGGGGGCCGCCTGGCACCCCCGCCTCAGCGCCCACAGCTGCTGGAAGCAGGCCTCCATCTCCTCGGCGAAGGCGTCTATGGTGAGCACAGGCCCGGCCTGTCCGCGTGGGGGCCTCGGGGGCGTGGGGGGCCTGGGGGGCCTGGCGGGTGGGGCGCCCTCCGGGGAGGAGGCCCACGCAGGAGGCGGCGGCAGCAATCTGCCCTCTCCCGGTAGGAAGAGGGTTCCCTCCGCCTCCCTTTCCTCGGCGGCGCCCGCGCTGGGTCCTTCCAGACACAGCAGCTCCTCCTCCTGGCCGGGTCCCCCATCCCCAGGGCCTTCTTCCAGCAGCAGGAGCGCAGTCACAGCCCACGGGGGGCTGTCCTCGTGGCCCTGGGGGCTCCTGGGGGCCCCGTCCCCCGAGGGGAGCTGAGCGCCGGGTGGAGACGGCCCTTTGGCACTGTGAGCCCTGGAGGAGGGGGCTGCGGAGGTCTTTTCCTCCTCCTCCTCCTCCTCTTCCTCCTCCTCCTCCTCCTCCTCCTCCTCCAATGGAAACCCTCCCAGGAGGCCCCACATGTGCCCTTCTGCCCGCCACCTGCTGCCCAGGGACGAGAGGCCCTGGGTGGCCGTGGCGGCCTCCTCCTGAGGCAGAGGAGCGGGGAGCTCCCACCCGGGCGGAGGGCAGGAGGCGGCCGGGGGCCCGGAAGCCCTCCGTGTGTTCTGCAGGCCTCCCAGGGCGCCAGCACCGTCCTCCCCGTCCTCCCTGTCCTCCACGCTGGGGTCCTCCTGGCCCTCATGACGCCGCTGGCACCTGTCCCCCAGGTCGTCCTCCTTCCCGCCCCACGTGCTGCCCGCCGCCCACGCCTCCGCCGCTCTCCACTCCGCGGCTCCCCCTGCCTCCTCCTCCCTCGGGCCGCTCCGATCCCCTGTTGGGATCCCATCCCCGTGGCTCCTTGCCAGGGGGTGGTTCCAGCAAGACTGTCCCACGGCTCGGGGCGCAGGCAGGGGCCCCGCGTCCAGCCCCTGCTGGGTCTGGGCCTCTGTGAACACGGCCTGGAGCAGCAGGGCGGCGGGGCCCCCGGCGGGCCCCCAGGGCGGGAGCACGGCCGTCTGCAGTAGGAGGGACTCCTGGGCCGCGGCGGCCGCTGGCCTCTGCGCGGAGACCCAGGCCAGCTCCGTGGGGAGAGGGGAGGCGTCGGCATTCTGCCCCGAGGAGCAGCCACAGAGCAGGAGGAGTGTCTGTTCGTGCAGGGCGGGCTCAGCCGGAGCGGGCTGCGGGGGAAGAGGGGAGAGGCGGGAATCAGCCCCCGCTGCCACATACCCTCCTCTGCCACATACCCCCTTCTGCCACGTACCCCCCTCTACCCCGCCTCCTCCTGTCCCCGGGCTTCCTCACCAGCCACACGGGCCTCCCTAGCACCCCAGGGCCTTGGCACCTGCTCTGCCCTCTGCCAGAATGTCCTTCGCCCAGAGCCCTCCTGGCTCACCCCTCACTCCGTTCATCTCACCCATAAGGTACTTCCTCAGACGGGCTCCCTGAGCACGTCCACTCCCTGCCATTCCCGTTAGTCTGTGTGTGAGGGCACAGCCCTCTATCCCCCGCCACATGCACACACACACACGTGTGTGTGTGCGCACACAGGCGCACACGCACGCACACATACACACATGCACACACAAGTGTGTGCACACACACAGGCTCACACACACAGCACCTCTGCTGAGCCCCAGAACCAGACAGGCCGAACAGCCTGAGCTCTGCTCACAGGCCTCTGCCCTTCATTTGCAGGAAGCGCTGGGCCTCAAAGTGGGCCAGACAGGGCCGGGGGTTGGTAGGGGTGGGGGAGGTCGGCTCCTGACCCTCGGGGGACAGACGGGCGGAGTGTGGCTGCAGAGTCAGAGCTCGGGGCCAGCCCAGGGCTGTGTGGCTTGGGGAATCACAGCTTGGGGTCCCGGAGCCTCCTCTGCAGAGCAGGGGCATGGCTCCTGCCTCCCAGCTGGTCGGACGGGATGAGGCATGGCAGGTGGCCGCTGGGCCTGGCACACAGCTGGGCATCTGTACCCACCCGCCCACCTCCCACAGGGAGGGCACACGCAGGGCTGATCACCCAGCTGCACCTGGGCACCCAGGAGGCCTCTCCTTACCCGTCCGTGGTCAGGAGCCACCAGCTCTGCCAGGAGCCAGGCTGCAGTCTCCAGGCCGGGCACCAGCTCCGAGGGGCCTCGCCCAGCCTCGACACAACCCAGGCCGCAGGGCGCCTCGGCCAGCTGGCCTGGGGACGGACGGTGCCCCGGGGTTAGAAAGACCCTCCTAGGACCCTGCCCAGGATTGTCGCCAGTGGCCCGGCCCCTGCTGCTGGGGCTGACGGCACTGCCAGCTGACTCACACCCTTCACACCCCCAAGGCCTGGGGATCCCCACCACCCTCCGGGGGAGGAACCAGGGGCTCAGAGATGGGAAGTGACCGTCCCTGCGCACAGTGGGTCTGCATCTGGCAGCCGCTTCTAACCACAGAGCCCGTGCAGGTGACAGCCCACACCACCTTCCTCCCAGCTTCCTCATGGGCCGATCCCTGTCCCCTGCAGCCATGTCCCCTGCAGCCATGTCCCGTGCAGTCTGTCCCATGTAGCCTGTCCAGTTGGTGTGGGGGCCAAAGAGCCAGCTCCTGGGCTCCTACAGGCAGACCCGTGCCTTCCAAGGACGACTTTGACCTTGTTTGCTGGTCAGCACAGCTTCCGGAAAGGGGGTGGATGGGAAGTGGGCCTCGGGGTGAGTGGCTGATAGGATATCTGACCCTCCTGTGCCCGCTGCACCTGGCAGGGGGACTGCGGAACCCACAGACACTCAGGGGATGGGTGTCCCTGGGGCTCCGGGGAGCAGCGCATGTGCAGCAGGGACCTGGGAGCCGGGGCTGAGCCTGCCATCAGGGACATGGTTCTCGTTGGGGACAAGATGGAGACAAGGGGCTGCCGAGGCAGCAGCTCCCAGGCCTGGCGGTCGCTGGGGTGGGGACAGAGGAGCTCGGCCTTCAGGGGGACAATCGCCTGAGGGCCTGCGGCCTGTGCTGGCAGTGTGTCAGGGGCACTGCAGGCTCCGGCCCCTTCCCCAGCCGTGTGACACTGAGAGGGGCCGCCAGCTCTGGGCCCGGCTTCCCTCTGCAGTCGGGACGGCCGCCCCTGCCCTCAGGGTGATGTAAGTGAGCTAGCCCGAGGGGGGGTGTCCACACCGGCGCCCCATGCTCCACGCACTGTGACTCCCCCATACCTGCGGAGGCACACGGTCCCGGGGCCCCGTCGGGGTGGGGCGGTGTCTGCCCACCTGGGCGTCCGCGGGCCTCCGGCGCCTCCTCACAGGGCAGGAGCAGCCACTCGTCCCGGGCACCGCCCCAGGCGTCCTGCAGGGAGACACGGAACCAAGAGCTGAGTGTCCATCCACGCCGGTCCCCGTGCGTCCCTCCCTGTGGGTGCCGTGGAACCCAGGGGAAACTGAGGCTCGGAGCAGTGGCCCGTGGCTCTTGGCCTGGCCTGTAGCCCTGTCCCGTGCAACCTGTCTCGTGCAGCCTGTCCCGTGAAGCCTGTCCCATACAGCCCTGTCCTGTGCAGCCATGTCCCATGTAGCCTGTCCCGAGAAGCCTGTCCCATACAGCCCTGTCCCGTGCAGCTTGTCCCATGTAGCCTGTCCCGTGCAGCCATGTCCCATGTAGCCTGTCCCGTGCAGCCATGTCCCATGTAGCCTGTCCCGTGCAGCCATGTCCCATGTAGCCTGTCCCGTGAAGCCTGTCCCATACAGCCCTGTCCCGTGCAGCCATGTCCCATGTAGCCTGTCCAGTGCAGCTTGTCCCATGTAGCCTGTCTCGTGAAGCCTGTCCCATACAGCCCTGTCCTGTGCAGCCTGTCTCAGCTCCTGGCCCTACAGCCCTAACTGCCTCCTGTTGGCACCCAGGCTCCGCTCTGCGGACAACTAGGAGCTAATCTGCAGCCAGGACGCCTCTGGCTCCATCCCCTCTCCCTCCTGCTCCCGCCGTGTCCCATCAGGGGCGTGTCCCATCAGTCCTGTCCCTCACATGCCAACAAGGCCAAATGGTACAGCCAATGCCCCTGGGTGGCGCCCCTGCCCTCGGCCTCTCCCCAGGCCCGGCAGGTGTGCAGCAAGGCGCCCTGCAGGGCACTATAGCACACGCCTTCTCCCGCTGCAGGCAGGCGTGGGGCCGCAGAGACTCAGCTCTGACCGCCACCCACGCGCTCCTGCCCCGGGCTAGTCTAACCCGTCCTAACGGTGCTGCCCGCTGCCCTCTGCCCACACCAGACCCTGGAGGGGAACTGGGCTCTGTCCAGGCTGCACCCGCACCTTAGCCTAGCACACAATAGGTGCTTGACGCATGTGTGACAGCCGGATGCGTAGGCAGACCCTGCAGACCGGCAGGTGGCTCAGACCCCCTAGTGCATCTATGGGCACACGTTTACCCAGTTCCTGCCATGTGCCAGGGCTTGGTCCAGGTCAGAGGAACGGAGGTGAGCAGGTAATGCCCCTCCCCCCTCCCCTGTCCCCTGGGTGCTGCCCTGCTCCCAGGACCCTGCATCAGCCCCTAGCTGGGCCTCCCACTCAGAGCCACCCCGGCTCCCTCGGGCTCCAGCGCTGAGACAGGCCCTGGAGGCCGCCATGGGGTCCCGGGCTGACGGACACTCCTCACCCTGGCCCTGGCCCCCACCCTCAGAGGCCTCTCCCCAGCTGCCTCCCCGCCGGCCCTGACTGGCCTGCCTCTGTGCGCCTGCGTCTACTGCTCCCTCTGCCCGGCTGGCACGTAATGGGGAGGTGCTCATTGCCTGCAGCTTGCTGGGCACCACCCCACACACACACACACCCCTCAGTCTCAGCCCCGCCCCTCCACACGCCCAGCTCCCAGAAGCCCCACTGAGCTGGAAGAGAGGCAGGCTGCTCTCCTGTCTCCAGCCTTCCGTGCTTCCCGCTGCGCTGAAGGAGAAGCCCCCCCACCCGGCTCAGTCGGCTCCTCCCACCCCATCTCTGCTCCTCCCCAGACCCTCTTCCTCCCGCTCAGAGCCTTGTACCCTGCCACCTGCTCCGGGCACCTCCCCTCCGATGGAGGGCATCCAAAAAGACGGTGCCACCCCCCTTTCATTTCACAAGTGATGTCCCTCCAGGGCTCTGGGCAGTCCTGTCCCTCACATGCCAACAAGTCCAAACACTACAGCCAATGCCCTCAGGCAGCGCCCCTGCCCTCCGCCTCTCCCCCAGCCGAAGAGGGGGATCCATTCTCAGAGAGGGAGAGCGGCTGGTCCCAGGCCACACAGCGCACACGTGGGAGGACAGGACCGAGCTCGGGGCTCTGACCCGGATCCAGGCTCTCTCCCCTTCCCCGCACCTCTCTGCTCCGTCTTGTCAACCCTTCCTGCTTCCCCGCTCACGGGAGCACTGGCCTGTCCCTGTGCATGCTTTCCGCTTTCGTTTTACTTGGAAAGATAAGGAGGAAAAGAAGGAACTGCGTGAGATCCAGACGCAGCGCTTTTCATGTGCTGGGCTTGTCTGTGCAGACACGTTTACATCCGCCCCAAAGCCAGGAGGCTCTGTCTCCACAGAGCGCCGGCTCGGTTCTGTGCTTCTCCTGTGTTTGCAGGGCCGTTTCCTCGCGAGTTCTCCTCCGACATGGTGTTTTGCGCTGCCAGATGGTCCCCAATATAAGGACCGCCTTCACGTGGGGGGCCTATTGTGATCCTCACTGATGGGACAGGACCCATCTCTGGTGTAAGGTGACCGGCCTGTCATCTGGCCTTTCACCTCAGTGTAGGTCACAGCTCCCGCCTGTGTGCTAGTTCTCACACTATCTGCACAGTGTCTCAAAGCCCCCGGTGTGCAGCGGGGCGTGAGGGTCAAAGGTGAAATGCCATTTCTGCCCAAAGGCAGGCAGTCCCAGGCCAGGACTCGCTAAACAATGAACGATTCCGGTCACGGCCACCAGGGGTCGCTCTACTCACACTGCGGGGCAGAGAGACTGGCAGAGCAGGGCCCAGCATTCCTGATGCTGCTGTCACCCACAACAGTGGTCGGCAAACTCATTCGTCCACAGAGCCAAATACCAACAGCACAACGATAGACATTTCTCTGGAGATCCACATTTTTTAAACTTCAGCTTCTTCTAACGCCACTTCTTCAACATAGACTCGCCCAGGCCGTGGTCTTTTGTGGAAGAGCCACACTCCAGGGGCCAAAGAGCCACAGGTGGCTGGTGAGCCGCAGTTTGCCGACCACGGACCCAGAACATGGTTTCAGCTCTAAAATTACAGCCCGGCCGGGACCGGTTTGGCTCAGTGGATAGAGCGTCGGCCTGCGGACTGAAAGGTCCCAGGTTCGATTCCGGTCAAAGGCATGTACCTTGGTTGCGGGCACATCCCCAGTAGGGGGTGTGCAAGAGGCAGCTGGTCGATGTTTCTCTCTCATCGACGTTTCTAACTCTCTGTCCCTCTCAATTCCTCTCTGTGTAAAATCAATAAAATATATTTTAATAAATAAATAAATAAATAAATAAATAAATAAATAAATAAATAAAAAATAAAATTACAGCCCGGCGCTGGCAAATTAAAGGCTGTGACTGAATCTCCTGGCATCAGCCTCCTGCTACTCGCCGGGCCAGGCCACCAAGTGCCGCCTGTGTCTGCCTCCCCGTCAGCTCGCAAGGCCAGGTCGGGTCACCTCACCAGCCCAGTGCCCGGCGCCTGGCAGTGCCATGTGCACACTCGCTAAAAAGAACGGGGATGGGGGGCGCATCTGCAGTGGGCCCTGCTTATCTGGCAAACCACAGTCCTTTAAAAAAATTTTTTAAATTGATTTCAGAGAGAAAGGGAGAGAGAGATAGAAATACCAATGATGAGAGAGAATCACTAATCAGCTGCCTCCTGCACACCCCACACTGGGGATCCCAGTCTGTAACCCGGGCCTGTGCCCTGATCGGGAACTGAACTATGACCTCCTGGTTCATAGGTCGATGCTTAACCACTGAGCCACGCCAGCCGGGCAAACCACAGTCCTTTTTCATTTCCTTTAACCCAGGACCCTGAGCAGGAACTCCTCCCCACGCTCCTCCCAGGCCTGGGCTTGTCCTTGGAGCGGCCTGTCCTCCCGGGACCTGGGCTCGGAGCAGCCTGTGCTAGACACCGCGAAGTGTGTGTCCCGGGCACGGCCTTGCCCCCGCGCACTGCGGGTTTGGGGACAGGACGCCGATCCCTGTGGCTACCTGCCAGCGTCCATGGAGTTCCAGCTGGGAAATCACTTTTAAAACATGAAGCAAATAAGTTATTATCTTCCCACAGTGACTGCCTTTCCCGTAACTCTCGCCGTGACGGCCACAGCTGCCAGGGCAGCACACCTTGCTGCTTCCCTGGGTGAGTGGCCTTGCCCCTGCCTCAGTTTCCTCATCTGCAAAGTGGGATCAGGAACCCTGCGGGTCCTTGTAGGGGAACAGCAGAAGCTGGCAGGGAGTGTAGCACTGGGCCAGGCCTGCAGCAGCCACGCAATATGCCAGCTTCTGTCACAGTTTTCTGCCCGGTGCCCACGGCCCTGGGGCTGGCCCGCCCCGGGTTCCCACTCCCGTATGTCACAGCCAGCCTTGCCCTGTGGTGGTCCCTTCCGCTAGAAGCTTCCGTTCCCCAGGGGCCGTGGCGCAAATATCTCCTTACATTCATTTATTCCCCGACCAGGAGCGCCTCCCCAGCCCTCCCAGGCGGGTCACCTGTTCGCCGACCAGGTGTCACAGCCGTGGCTGGGACCGGATTTAGGGCCGAATGGCCCCGGCAGGTGATGGGAAGAAGGAGATTGGTGGAGGAGAGGCGGCAGGCTGTCCCAGTGAGAACTGGAGCCATCGGAAGGGGGTCACGGCATCGTGGACTCCGTGAGGTCAGGAGTCTTCTTAGAGGAAATGACCTTCCCGCCCAATGGGGAGAAGGTAGCAGGGACTTAGGGGGCGGCCTGGGAGGGGGCAATAGAGGCTCCTAGACACGGGGAAGGCATGCAGGCTGCTAGAGCCTGTACACGCAGGGGCGCAGGGTGCGGGGGGAGGGGGGGGCGGTTACAGGCGGGGGGAGCAGGGGAAGGTCAGGCACGGCCTGGAGCTCAGCCAGAGCAGCAGGGGCCTTGGGTGCTGTGGGCAGGAGGTTACACTTCACTCCGAGGCACTGGGGCCTGAGGGCCAGGGGAGCAGGAGGACAGGCTACCAGGGTTCTCAGAGAAAGGCCCCTGACGAGGACCTGCTGAGCCTCAGCCCCCGGACCCGCCCCTTTGACCCCGCCCCTCGGCTCGCATGTGCACTGCCCTCAGTTCTGAGGCCGATCTCACAGGTGCATGGCCACGGCTGCCACGGCCACGGCCACAGCCATGGCCACGGCCAAGCTCACACATTCCAGACCCAGACCCCGAGGGCAGCAGCTGGCTTTGCAGCTTCCTTCTCAATAGGCTAGAGCATTTTCATTTTAAAATCGCAGGCCACCCTCCCCTCCGGGCTGGAGGCTGGCGGGCCCCTTCCCCTGCCCCCACACCTTCACCAGGGGGTCTTGTCTCCCCTGTGGGGAGGGGTCTCATCTTACCCCCCAGGGTCCCGCCCACCAGTGGAGACCAGTTAGTCACCTCGGACTGTCCAGTCTAGGGGCAGCATGGGGACGGAGGGGGCAGCTATCGTGTGCAAAGCATGGGTGCGTCCACCCAGCTCCCCTGGAAGAGATGATGGCAAAGGCGGTGATGATGTTGGTGACAAAGATGGCACTGACACTGAGTGTGACTGCCCAGCCGCCACGCACCACAGGGGGCTAAGGGCTGTCTCCGAACCTCTCGTCTCATCCTCACCAGCCAGCAAGGAAGTGGGTCCCGGTCCCTCCCAGCTCACACCTGAGGGCACGGAGGCCCAGGGGGGTCAGTGACCTGCCCGCAGGCTCCGCGGTGCCAGGAGGCAGCACTGCCGGCCACGCAGGGTCCCCGCCTCCGCCCCGAACACCCCGCGCCCAGCTCGCAGCTCCGTGTCTAAGGTCTGCGCGCTCTGTCCTGCGGTCCCTACATGGCAGCCTCTGCTGCTCCCTCTGCTCCGCCTGGGGAGGGGCTGGAGGCGGGCTGGCTGGGACTGGACCTGACAGCCACTCAGGGAACTTTCTAGAGGATCTGACTGCACCACGGTACCCAGAGAAGCCTCGAGAGCCAGAGCCTGGGGCGTGGGACCTCTAACTGATCACTGGCGAGACAGCAAGGTCACAGGTGCACGCTGGCAAGGGGCCGTGGGCTGGGGGCTGGGGGCGCACAGCTACAAATCCGGCCGATGCTGCCCCACAATCCTCCAGCGCCATCCCCGGCCTGGCACCTCCGGGTGCGGCACAGCCTGGAGCCAGGGCTCCGATCCGACCCGTGTCCCCTCCTGACCCCGGGACTGGGTGACTGAGTGCCCATGCCCAATGCACGTAGCCCCCCGGGTCTCAGTCTCTCCATCTGCCCAGTGGGTGGCAGCCTGACGCCCAGGTGTGCTGAGGGTTAAATGGGAACACAGACTCTCCAACATGCCAGGTCTTTTAACTATTTGGGTGCCACCCTGCCTCTTGGGAGTGGAGCGTAGGAGGAGCTAGATTGGGCGAATGAGGACTGACACCAGCAGCCTAACGCCGTGGTAGGCAAACTGCGGCTCTCGAGCCACACGTGCCTCTTGGGCCCTTTGAGTGTGGCTCTTCCACAGAATACCACGGCCTGGGCGAGTCTGTGTTGAAGTGGCATTAGAAGAAGTTTAAAACATGTGGCTCTCCAAAGAAATTTCAATCGTTGTGCTGTTGGTATTTGGCTCTGTGGGCTGAGTTTGCCGGCCCCTGGCCTAAAGGATCGTCTTACGCTTAGGAAGATTACAGAAAGGATTCTAAAGGACAACTGCCATCCAAACACGGTTTATTTTCCCAAATTACAGTCAGGGGCCAACGTTCAAACGTACAGTGTTCCTTTCATCCATGAACATAGCGAAGGGGGAGCGAGCAGGGTACGCGGCCGGGGACGGAGGAATATAAAGTCAAAGATAAACAGACGCAGAGAAACGCTCATTAAAAAAAGGTCCCGCAGGGTACAGGGCAGCAGGCTGAGACGTGCACGATTAAAGGTCCAGTGCCTTTGAAATAGGTGGTCTGGTCAGAAGATAAATTTGATTTTTTTTTTTTTAATGAGCAATGTCGCTTGAGCTACGGTTGCTCACTGGCTTTTCCTTCAATGCAAGCTGACCCCCGGAGAGGAGCCGAGAAGCGGGGCCCGGGAGGAGCTGAGCCGGCTCTCTTGGGGAGGCGGGGGTGCGGCGCAGACAGCAATCGGGCTCGGGGGACTGCATGACCACAGGTCAGTGCCCGGCCTCTGAGCCTCGGCCTCCTGGGAAGGGAGGGTGCCGACCACCGTTCAATGCAACAGCGCCTCCGAGGCAGCCCGGAGGGTGCCAAGCGCAGGGCAGGGCAGGTCACATGTAAGCTTTTACCTTTCTGTCAGTCACGTGACTAGGCAACGGCCTCTGCCCTCGCCTCCAGAGCCTCAGAAACCTGCCCGAGGTCACCCGCTGGCCAACAGGAGAGCCGGAAGGTCCGCCCCGTGAGCTTCCCACCGCGCAGCCCCCTCAGGCCCGGCCTGCCCCCGAGGAGCTCACAGTGTCAGGGGGAAAGGCAGGTGCACACGGCAGGCCACGCCGGGACCGTCACCGCCTTAGGTGCCATGAGGTGCTGCCCCAGGGAGGGGGACCGGGGACACTCACAGCACCTGAGAGCTACATCACACCGCCCCCCAGGGGCGCAGCCAGCCCTGGCACACGGCTGGGCCATTAGAGGTTGGCTCTGGGTGGGTGGACCGCAGGGACCAGACAATGAGGGGTGAAGGGTGGCTGGCTGGCTGCCTGGACAGTGGTTGGAAGCAGACGGTAGTTGAGATGATGGAGCATGGGAGACACGTGGATGGGTGGACAGGTGGATGGGTGAATGGGTGGGGGCTGAGCAGACTGGCTGGCTGGCTGGCTGGCTGGCTGGGTAGGAACTGCCTGGGGTGAAGGGTGGACCGAAAGGGCTGGTGGGTTGGCTCGGGGGGGTGAAGAGGAAGCCTGGAGAATGGGCGGCTCAGTGACTTAACCAAAGTCTGCACCAGAAAGTGAGAGAAAAGCAGTCACTCCTGCCCCGGGGCGCCGCCACTTACCAGGCTCCCGTGGCCAGCAGGGGGCGCGCTGCGCACGCGCTCGCCCGGGGCCTGGGCCGCCAGCTCCTCGCGCAGGCGCCGGTGCTGCTCGGCGAGGTGGTCCACCTGGCTCTGCAGGCCGATCTCCGACAGCCGCAGGCCGTACAGGCAGCAGCGCAGGTCCTCCAGCTGCGCCCGCAGCCGGCTCGCCGCCTCGTCCCGCTCCCGCTCGCCGCGCTCCGCCCTGGCCCGCAGGGCGCGCAGCTCCGCGGCGTCCTCGGGGTCATCGGGGTCCTCCGGGTCCTCCGGGTCCTCGGGGCCGCGCTGGGGGCCGGCGGGGCCCGAGGGCGGGGCGCTGCCCGGGGGCGGGGCGCTGCCCGGGGGCGGGGTGCTGCCCGGGGCCGGGGCGCTGCCCGGGGCCGGCGCGTCCAGCTCGGCCAGCAGGAGGCCCGCGGCGCGGCACAGGCGCCGCACGTCCCGCTGCAGCCGCTGCACCTGCGCCCGCAGCGCCCGCTCCTGCTCGCGCGCCAGGCCCAGCTCGCGCCGCTGCGCCCGCCGGCAGCGCCCCAGCGCCTCGTCCGCCTCCCGCAGCCGCTCCCGCAGCCGCTCCCGCAGCCGCCGCTGCCGCCGCGCCGCGCGCTCCTGCTCCAGCACCTGCGGTGGCGGTGGGCGAGCGTCAGGGGCAGGCCCTGCAGCCTGTCTTTGGCTGAAACCTCGGCGTTTTGTGCATCGGAGGATATTGTCACATTAACATGTCGCATCAAAACCCTATTGTTTATCTGTGAGGGAGGTTCCCGGCGCCCCCCTCCCGTACATCCTGCGCCGGAGCCGAGCGGTGCGGGGACGGTCACCCAGCTCAGCCGGGCCGGAGGAGCCGGAGTGTCTGGTGCGTGTCAGGGAGATGGGGGAGGAGACCCGCAGGCACACCTGGAGACAGTTCCCCGTGAGGAAGCCCCACGGGGTGAACCTGTCGCGGGTGGTGCTGGGTGCGCTCTGTCCCCCCCGACAGGTGTGCCCAATGGGCTTTCAGAGTGGCCACAGGTCACTGCGGACACGAGGCGTCCATGGCGCAGTGCATGCTGCCTGGAGCGCTGACCACAAGGTGGAGCCGCCGCTGGGCCAGCATCAGGCACAGGGTGGCCGAGCTGGTGCCCGCACCCCTACCGCACCTGCTCCGCAATCAGAGGCAGAGGTCCAGGTCACCCAGGGATCCTGAGCAAGCCCCTCTTCACTGACCGCCCTCGCCTCCCCTGGGGTGGGGTCCTGACAGGAGTTTCCCAGGAGCATGCAGGCGCCCTGAGGCCAGAATGGGGATGGGCCGACCTCATAGATACACGGCCACGGCTGCCACAGCCACGGCCACGGCCACGGCCACGGCCAAGCTCACACATTCCAGACCCAGACCCCGGGACCCTGAGCAGGAACTACTAATGACAAAAGCGGCCACTGCTGTAAGTGTTTTACACTTATTAACTCACTTAGCCCTCATCACAATTTGAAGGTGTTGCTACTATATCCTTCCCATTTCACAGAGGAGAAAACTGAGGCCCAGAGAGGTTACGTCAGTTGCCCTAGGTCACGCAGCCATCTGCCTTCAGCTCTGATTTGTCCCCCATCCCCGCCATCTCTCTCTCCCTGCAACTAGAACGACATCCCCCAAACCCTGGTCCAGAGCCTCTTCTGCTCACGTCCCCAGCGCCTGCTCTCTCTCTCTCCTTCAGAATCGGTTGTGCAGTGGCCCTGGCGGTCTGGCCCCGTGGGAACCCTCCAGTCTCACCAACTCCCTCTCCCCACACACACCCCCTGCCGGGACCCAGTATGTCCCCCAGACCTCCGTGCCTCTGCCCGGGTGGCTGCCCTGCCCACAAGGCCCAGCTCTCCGGCCCAGCCCTCTGTGGCTCCCCATGCATTGCTCACCATGCCGCACCGCCCTCATGACCCCAGCGCCCAGCTCTGAGTCCTCGTTTCCTATCTGGGTCCCCACCTGCACTCCAGCCCCGGGGTCAGCCGTCTCCCTGTCCTGAGGCCAGAGCTGCATCCCACCCCCCCATACAGGCACGGAGGCCCCAAAAATGAACCTCTGTCCAGAGCTCCCAGACCCCGCAGGTCACCCCACCCACACCCCACCCCAATGGTCCCCGTGGGAGCCTGTGAGGCAGGCAGGGCAGGGATCTCATGTTCCACATGACCTCACCCAGGTCCCACATGACCTCACCCAGACCCCCCACACACTGTCTCTGCTCAGGTGTAGCTGCGACCACATCCAAACACGGGATTGGGGGGGGACCCCGAGGGGAAGAGAATTGGTGCTGGAGGGAAGGGGGAGGCCGCGTACCTGGCAGGCGAGCTCGCCCTGCAGCGCCTGCAGCTGCTCCTGGGCCCGCAGGGAGGCGCTCCTCTCCTGGCACACGCGGGCGCTCAGCTGGTCCACCTTCCGCAGGAGCCTCCGCTCCGACCGCTCCAGCTCCTGGATTCTGCACGGGAAGCAGGCGGCGCTCAGTCCCAAGCGGACCCGGCAAACACGCCCGAGGTTTGCACACGCCCCGGACCACCTCTGTGTGGTCATTTGGCCCATTTCATGCTCGGACACAATTGCATTTTGTAAAACATCACACGTATCTTCCTAGGGATGAGCTACCACACTCCAAAGGCCTCTGTGGACTAAGAAGGCTCCAGGCGTCAGAAATCCTAATAGGAACCTCATCGTTAAGCCAGAAACCCCGAGGCTGGCCACTCGGAGGGAGAGCTGCGCCGGACAAAGGTAAGTACCTCGTGGTCTCACTCACCTGTGGGACACAGTGAATGTAAACTGACGGACAGAAATAGAGCCAGAGGGGACATAGTCTAGCCCAGTGGTCGGCAAACTGCGGCTCGCAAGCCACATGCGGCTCTTTGGCCCCTTGAGTGTGGCTCTTCCACAAAATATGACAGCCTGGGCGAGTCTGTTTTGAAGAGGTGGCGTTAGAAGAAGTTTAAGTTTAAAGAATGTGGCTCTCAAAAGAAATTTCAATCGTTGTGCTGTTGTTATTTAGCTCTGTTTAAAAAAAATTAAATATATATATATATATATATATATATGTATGTATATTTGATATTTTACAGTGAGGAAGAGAGAGGGATAGAGAGCTAGAAACATCGATGAGAGAGAATCATTGATCAGCTGCCTCTTGCACACCCTCTACTGGGGATGTGCCCACAACCAAGGCACATGCCCTTGACCGGAATCGTACCTGGGACCTTTCAGTCTGCAGGCCGACACTCTATCCACTGAGTCAAACCGGTTTCAGCAATATTTGGCTCTGTTGACTAATGAGTTTGCCGACCACTGTTCTGGACTATAATAGAAGTAATTCTGTTATTTGCAGATTTTCAATATTTCCTACAACTTCTGTGATATCATACTGTGTCAGTACAGTTTTGATATTATTATACTTAAAATCTTTTTTTCTTAAAATATTAATGTTTTGTTGCATGTAATATACTTAAGATCGTTTTTCTTGAAATATTAATGTTTATTGCAAGCAACATTATTATATTTTAAATCATTTTCTTGAGCTATTAATCTTTATTGCATATAACATTATTATATTTACGATTGTTCTTAAAATATGAATGTTTATTGAATGTAACATTATTATATTTAAAATCATTTTCTTGAGCTATTAATCTTTATTGCATGTAACATTATTATATTTAAGATTGTTTTTCTTAAAATATTAATGTGATTTTCTTGAACTATTAATGTTTATTGCATGTAACATTATTATATTTAAAATCATTTTCCTTGAGCTATTAATGTTTATGCATGTAACATTATTATATTAGAATAGTTTTTCTTGAAATAAAAATAAGATAAAGGAACTGAGCCTGAAGCAAGCACCTGCATGGCCTCAGTGAACCCTCACCTTGCCAGCCCACAGGTGGGCTGCATGACCCCTTCTTCACCCGGGAGGAAACTGCAGATCAGAGAGGCCAGGCAACCTGCCCCAGGTCACACAGCATTTTGGAGCCCAGGCTGTCTGACTCCCAAACTGACACTTTAACCCTCTGCTCTGTTGCCTCCCGTCTGAGCTATATTCCTGTGACTCTCTTCTGTAGAGTGATTGAAGTCAGAAAAAAAAAAGTTTGTGCAATTAAAATAATTAGTCTCTATGACTACCGAAGTAAGAAGTTGGAGGGGCCATTTGTGTGGCAGGGACGGCAGAGGCACGGGAAGGCTGTTTGTCTTCCTGGGGGAATGCTGAGGCTGAGTCACATGCAGCGGAACACCCAGCCTGGACGAGCCGCTGCCCACAGCCACGTGATAGGGGAAGCGCGTGTGGGTGGGGGAAACCTGAGGCCAAAGCTGGCTGAGGCCCACGGGGACAGGAGGAACTTAAAGACGTGCCTGTCACCTGTGTGCACCGAGCACCCCAGTCTCTGAGGTGCCGATCTTACCTCCATAACAGAAATAGGGGCACGTGGGAAGTGTGTGCCCGCCTGCCTGGCCTGCCCGTCGCCACTCCTTTACCAAGTCCACCCCGGCCACCCGCTCGCCCAGGACAGCGTGGCTTCCCTAGACGAGGACCTAGCTTTGCCTGCTGGCTCTGCCGCGTACAGCCATGGGGCCCAACTGGACTCATTCGCCACTCTGACCCTCAGTATCTTTATCTGTTAAAAATAGAGTTAATTGCACCTTGCTCAGAGGTTGTGAAGATTAAATAAAATGATGTGTTCTTATTAATAAGTAGAGGCCCCAAAATTCATGCACAGGGGGCTGGAGGGGTCCCCTCAGCCCAGCCTGCACCCTCTCCAATCTGGGACCCCTTGGGGGTTGTCTGACTGCTGGTTTAGGCCTAATCACCTGCAGTCAGACATCCTTCTCACAATCCAGGAACCACTGGCTCCTAACTGCTCACCTGCCTGCCTGCCTGATCGCCCCTAACTGCCCCCCTGCCAGCCTGATCACCCCCAATTACCTCTGCCTGCCTGCCTAATCTCCCCTAACTGCCCCCTTCCACCGGCCTGGTTGCCTCTAACCGACCACACCCCCACTAGCCTGGTTGCCCCCAGCTGTCCCCTACTGGCCTGGTTGCCCCAAACTGTTCCCCCCTCCACCAGCCTGGTCACCCCCAACTGCCCCACCCCCTCTCCTTCCAACCTGGCAGCCCCACCCAGCCTGCTGTTCAGTTGTCTGCCCAGTTGTTTCTGTCATGATGGCCCTTGGCTTTTTATATATTAGGATAAGCTCAGAGTCCCCTCTCCTCCTCTAGCTCCGAGGCCCTGGGGGAGAGCTCCGAAAGTGGCAGAAGGGCGTGTGGATTATAATCGCGTCCCTTCCAAACTGCATGAGAGGAGTGGCCCCAGGTTCATCAATCAGAGCTGTCCCGAGTGGCTCTGATCTGTTATAAAACGGGTGGCATCGAAACGGAACAAGGAAAGTCTCTCTTTAGCCTCTGAGACTGGCCTGAAACACTAGCTGGGAGACAGTGTTTCACTCGGACATCGTCCCCGTCGGGGAATGGCGGGTCTCACTGCGGGCAGGCGGAATAACGGCCCACAGAGACATCTAGGCCCGGACCCCGGCACCCAGGAGTGCTGCCTTCAAGAGCATGTGAGACTGCAGGTGTAACTACCTTCAAGAACGTGAGATTATCCTAGATCGTGCGGGGGGGCCCAGGAGAGAGGCAGACGGCTCGCACACAGAGGGTGCAGGCGTGCGGGCTGCTAGGCTGGCGGCATTGCAGACGGAGGCCAGCGCGAGCACTGCCCCTGCAGGGCCAGGGCAGCCCCCGCCGGCTGAGGAGCGTGCGCTGGCCAGAGCACAGGGCCCCTGCACCTGACCCTGCCTCCGGAAACGCAGGGCTGTGGGGCCGCTGTTTGAGCCGCAGGGCTGGGCAACAGGAAACTCACGCACTCGCCAACACGAAACAGACACCGAAGTACAGCTCTACACCAGTGAACGCCCAGTTAGACCAGCATGCAAGGCGGGAAGGAGTGCAATGAGCTGGGAGACACGCTCGGGGGGTGGGGAAAAGTCGTCCCCTCACGGCCGCCACTCTGACCGGGCTGCCTGGGTTCCAGGCCCAGCCCCGGGGGCTCGGTGCAGCCCACCCACAGAGAACAGAGGACACGGCCCACATTTCCCCACAGACGGGCCCAGGCTGCCCGGCCCAGGTCAGCCTCAGCCCAGCCACAGCGGCCATGCACTCACAGCGCCCGTCCCCGTCCCTCCCTCACCGGAGGGGTCGCCTGTGGACGGGGTGTCCCGCCCATCCTCCCCACGCCTGCTGACCTCCTGGTTTTCACTGTCAATCGTTCTGGAGGAAGATTTGAATGGGCAATGCTGTGTGGGCCACACTACTCCTCTGTCCAGGGCTGGGCCCTGTCCTCCTGCTCCCAGCCCCCAGGACGTATGCTATGGGATGGCTGTGTCCCCCCAAATTTGTACATTGAAGTCCTAACCCCAGGGCCTCAGAATATGACTGTCTTTGGAGATGGGGTCCGCACAAAGGAATTCAGTGAAAATGAGGTCCCTTGGGCGGGCCCTAATCTAATCTGCCTGGTGTCCTTATAAGAAGAGATCAGGACACAGACACACACGGAGGAATGACTGTGGGGACACAGAGACAAGATAGCCATCCATCAGCCAAGGAGAGAGGCTCAGGAGAAATGAACCCTGCCCACACCCTGATCGGGACTCTAGCCTCCAGAGCTGTGAGAGGATAGATGTCTGACGTTGAAGCTGCTCAGACTGTGACACTTGGTTGTGGTTGTCACGGAAACTAGTGAGTACAGGTTGTAGAATCAGTGGGTGGGTGGATGGAAGATGGATGATGGGTGGATGGGTGGATGGATGAATGGGTGGATGGTGGGTAGATGTATGTATGTATGTATGGATGGATGTGTGGATGGATGGATAGATGAATGGATGGATGGATAGGTGGATGCATGGATGGATAGATAGTTGAGTGGATGGATGGATAGATGGATAAACAGATGGTGGGTGGGTAGATGAATGGATGGGTGGTGGGTGGATAGATAAATGGATGGGTGGTGGGTAGATAGGTGAATGGATGAATGGATGGGTGGTGAATGGATGGATGGATGGATGGATGGATGGTGGGTGGATAGATGAATGGATGGGTGGTGGGTAGGCAGGTGAATGGATAGATGGGAGGATGGAGAGATGGGAGAATGGACAGATGGATAGACAATCACAGGAGTGATACATAGAATAACTAAATAATTTTTTTGATATGTGAATTCCTCCATGTGAAACGTATTATAAAGAAGAAAAGTAGAAAAGCAGATGTAAATACACATTTAATGACTTGCCTTTATTAAAATGAAGGGGAATACAAGGAAAGGCCGAAGTCTCAGGCAGACCCCAGACTCTGGCTGCTGGGATACTGGGAACCCATGGGAGGCGATCCGCCATGACCACACCGCGTCTCTCCTCTGAGGTCCATGCTGAGCCCGCCTCCCGCTGCCGGCCCGGCACCAGACCGCGATCCCGGAAGAGCCCGGGCTTCGAGAGAGGCCTGGAGCCCATGCCCAGCCTCGGGGCCCTGTGGCTGCCTCCGGACAACTCCCCACCAGGGAGTTCAGGGTCAGCAGCAAGAAACAGACACAGAGCCTGCTGCACTGGTGGTGGGTGAACCCAAAGGCCTATCAGAGATGACAGACAACCCAGGGACTAGTGACTGCCCATGGCTACCCTGTCCCTGGGCTGGGGGGCCCTCCGGGAGCAGGTGGTGATGCTGGGGCAGGGCGGGGCCACAGCAGGAGCAGGACCACGGAGGGACCGGGAGCAGGACTGAGCTGTGGCCACAGTCAGAAATGTCACGCAGAGCAGCAGAGCTGGGTGGACAGGAGAGAGAGAAGGCACGGACAGCAGGGCTGGGTGGGCAGGCTACGTGACGTGGGTGCCTGCTTCCTCGCCACGGGAACGATGCTACCCGCCTTCTGACCGGCTCTGACGCCCGGGCCCAGGCAGCGCACCCCGCAGAGGCCCACGTGGCACATTTACCTGCTCCTGAGCCCCGACTCCGACCTCACGTACTTGTCCACTGCCGCCAGCAGCTTCTGCTCCGAGGCCTCCAGCTGCCTCTGGAGCGTCCCCGCGTCCGTGTCCACGTCGGGGCTCCCGGGGGCCGCTCCTCCCGGGAGGCGTCCCTGCTCCTCGCCGCTGTCCTCAGCGCCGCTGTCCTCCTCGGCGCTGTCCTCCGCATCCCGGAAGACCCAGGCCGTGTCGATCTTCACGTCCACGTTCACTACGTCCCCGCCGTCCCCGCCGGGGGCCCTGACCACGTAGCTGAAGGTCTTCTCCGCGCGCCCGGCCGCCGCGGGCTCCATCCCGGCATGGCACAGGCCGCGGCCTCAGCAGGCAGGGGCGTTTGCGACGCTGGCTTTCTGGAGATCGCAAGGCGGGTGCAGCCCTCCGGATTGTGCAGGAGCACGTCCCCTGAGGAGGCAGGAGCGGTGCATTATTCACGAGGGGCTCGGTTTCACCGGCCAAGCGTCACACGATACGCACGGCCCTCTCGGCTTACGCGCCGGCACTCCCGCCCAGCGAGGCGCCGCGGGTCCCCGGAGCTCAGTGCTGAGCCGCCGCGCACAGGAGGGCACAGGAGAGGGGGTAGAGGGTCTCCCGGCACGGCTCGAGCTGGCACCAATGCCGGGGTCTGTGCCCGGCGGCCAGGACAGCCGGCCTCCACCAAGGACCCCGCCCCGCGGGCGGCTCTCCTGACCGAGTCCAGCTCCTGGCCACCCAGGAGGTGGAGCCACCCTAACCGCCTCACGGGTGAGGAACGGGGGCCGGAAGGGGGGGCCTGTCCAGCCCACAGATATGGGGGGGCAGAGTCAGCTCACAGCTGGGCCTGACTGTGAACCTGAGGCAGGGATGTCCCAGCCTGGGGGAGCAACACCTCCCTCCCGCAGGGACAGCCCCGGGCCTGGAGGGGGGGTGGCCTCCTCCTCTTTCCTGGAGGAGCGCAGCCCTGAGAGAGGACTCCCCCCCCGCATCCCCCAGGAGGGGAAAAGGCGGCCCCGGAGCCTCAGCTGGGGAAGCGCCCAGGCCTTTGGGGTTCGTGACTAAGACCTCCAGGTCCAGGGGACGAGCCCCCTGGATCTGGGGGGAGGGGAGAGGAGGTCCTCCCTGATTGTCAACCACCTCCCCCGGCTTCTTGGGGGTGGAGCTCTAGTGGGCAGGGGTGGGCATCGCCATGGAGGCTGTAAGGACAGGCCCTGCACCCTAGGGAGCCTGGGGGAGGTTCCCCGATGGCTGAGGGTGGTCCCAGGAGGGGCAGCTGCCGAGAGCGGCGCGCTGGAGTTCCCAAGTGGGCTGTAACAGCCCAGGGAGATGGGAGAAGGGAGGCGGGAGGGGCCCTGCTGCAACCCACTGCAGGGCTGGGAGGGGGGCATCATTTGGGGTACAGAAGCCCCGGAGAGTTCTCAGACAAACTCCGGGAGGGGACCCCCACCCGCTGGAGGGACTGCCCCCCCCTCGCTGGCAGGCTGCGAGCAGGTGCTGCTTCAATGCGAGAAAGCAAACCAGGAGCAGAGCCACTGCCTGGCCTGGGCTGTCAGTCAGGGGGGCTCATGCTGGTCCCCCCCCCCCTTGCTGACGGAAGCGGAGGGCAGGGCCGGAGCCACGCACCGAGCCCCTCGGCCTTCAGACAGGAGGGGAAGACCGTGAGGGGGCATGGGAAGGGATCAGCTGGCACAGGGCCAGCGGCCAGGTCTCCAAGGCAACACAGTCCCCGCCCCACGGGACAGCTGACCCCTGGCCTCTCAGCCTGCAGAGCTGCCAGGTGCCGGGTGCAGAGTGGGCGGCCGCATCATAGGTTTCTGCATCACCCGTGCCCTGCCCCGTGCCCTGCCCGTGCCCAGCCCCGTGCCCAGCCCCTGGCTGGCCGCCCCTCCGCCTCCCAGAGGCTCTGTGAGGAGGCTGGGGTGAAGGGTGGATGCCAGGAATCGATCACTGACACCAACAGAGAGGTGTGGACAGGGAATCCGGAGGCTGGTCAACCTTAATTGCTCTGAAAGGTCGGAGCTGATCGCTCACTGTTTAGCTGAGACCTTGGCAGCTAAAGCGGCCTCCACCTGTTAGTCATATGTAAATTCCTGCCGAGGAAACCCCAGACCACCGGGACCAGCTTCGTTTCGGTTGTGATTTGCAAAAGGAAGAGATGCTGGGAATGGCACTTCTTTTGGAATTTCCTGCCAAAAGGATATGGGTGTATCTCATAACCTTAATCAAAGGGATGGCAAGGCCAAAGCAAGGCGGCAGTCCTCTCTTGGGCTCCCACCTGGCCCCCAATATTCTCAAATTAATGCTCTTCTATTCTCTTTCATTTGTGTGTGGCCTCCTCCAGAACCCGAACCCTGAACCGGAACCCTGAACCACGCGAGACGTGAAAGGGGCTCCCTCAGGCGGACCCATCCTTTCCCCCTTTGTGTAAGGATGTAACCTTGGGTCCAGCTGACCCCGTAGCTCTGCTCCCTGGAAACCACACATGTTACTAGGCAACTGCCACCACCCCCCTGAGGGGTGCAGCTCACCTGGGCGCCAGGGCGTGGCTCCACAGCGCCGAGGTTCCCCGAGAAGGACGCTCCTGGCACCGGGCCGGCCCTGACAGGGACCGTGGAAGCGACTCCTGGACCGTCACGGCAAATGCCGGCTCCGTCGGCGATGCCGGTCTCCCAGGCCCGGCAGCTCCGTGCCTGCCGGCGTGAGCCTCAGCCCTCACACCCGTGCCGTCTGAGAGACGGGCCTGGTCCCGTGGGCTATGCCATCTCCTCTGAGGACGCCGCCCACCGAGGAGCTGGGTGCGCCTGCTGCGCCTCCTGCCAGGGTCCCGGAGACCCGTGGCTGCCAGCTGTGCCAGAGAAGCGCTCTCAGGAGGCGCTGGAGAAACCGAGATGCCGAGGGGCACGCGTGTTGCCAGTGTCCGCGGCAGGGAGGACGCCGGGCGGCGAGTGACCTGCGTGGGTCTGACTTCAAAGTCCGCGCCCTTCCCGCCCGCCGCCAGGTGTGAGGGCGAGCAGACGGCAGGTGGACGCGTGGGGGCCGCCCTCCTGTGCCCTCCTGCAGCGGGCAGAGGACCCCGTGCCACAGGAACCGCTTCCCGAGTCCCGGCGTGCCCCCTGGCACCCCCCGCCGACTCAGGCAGCAAGGCAGGGTCTCTGCGCTTCCTGGCCCCGAGCAAGCAGACGGGGCCCGCGGTCCTCCCTGCCCACACGGCCCACACGCCGTCCCCACCGCGTGCTCAGGCGCCGGGTCTTCACGCACGGGCGTCCGTCCGGTCGTGTTTGGTCACTGAAGGTTGGCAAGTCGGGGGGCTGGGGTAGCAGGTGCTTTGGGTTTAGATTAATAAGAGAACGTGTATCCCTCAGCGGTTCCGGGGCGCTTCCTCAGGCCCCCAATCCTTAGATTCGGTGGGAACAACCTCCCCATGGGGCTGAGATCCCCCTCGGTGCTCACGGCCGGGTCCTTCTCTCCCCCTGGGGTTGCCCTTCCGAGAACTCCCCGCGCTTCTCCTGGGTGCCCGCCCCCACGTGACCTGCAGGTATTTTCCTTTCCACCAAAGGCTCTTCTCACCGGCTGGGCCAGGAGGGCCCGCGTCGCCCCACGGGCACCGAGCAGCGTTCCCGTCCTCGGGATCAGCCCGCCCGCGCCTTCTGCTGCCTCTCCCGGCGCAGTGTGGCTGAGCTTCCCTGGGCACGCACATCGTCCATGTCACCTGGTCCAGTCTGTCCAAACGTCTTCCTCCCGAAGGCGTGGGGGACGGCAGGCACGTGAGCAGGAGCCTTCTTCTGGACACGACCCTCTCAGCCTCCCCAAGCCCCACCCTGAGGGAACAGCAGCAGCCACGCCCAAATGCTTTCTCCAGAAGCCCTCTCCCGGAGGCCGCCCCGTCACCCTGCGAGGCCTGACTCCTGGCTGGTCTCCGTGAGCAGGCGCGGCCCGGTCTCAGACCACTGCGGAAGGAGCGCCATTCCCAGCATCTCTTCCTCTTGCAAATCACAACCGAGATGAAGCCGGTCCCGGTGGTCAGTGGGGCCGGGCCTCCCAGTCCTCACTCCATGTGGCCCCAGGACTGTCATGCTCCGGGACTTTCTCCACGTCATACGCACGGGAGTGATGGAGCTTGGGGTTCCTCGGGGTTCGCCCTCTGCAGCAGGCGAGGCCCCGGCCGCCCTCTCTGGCCGTCCGCGGCTGGGCCGGCTGCACACACGTCCGGAGGGTTTTGTGGGCCAGGGCGTGGCTTTGGGTCCAGGTCACAAGGACACTGGCCAGTCCCTCTGGGTGCACAGGGCGCTGTTCACGGGGACATATGTACATGGTCTGTGTCCACCGGCAGGCCGGCCACAGCCACGGCCACGGCGGCACACAGGCCGGCCACGGCCGTCCCCAGGCCACGCGGATGCTCTCCCGTGTCCAGTAATTGCACTTGGTTCCCTGGAAGTCGGGTCTCCGCCCCCGTGGGGACTCCGTGGCCCGAGCTTGACACAGTCCCGTCCTCCCTGCAGAACTCCTCCAGCTCGGCCCGGCGGACCGCTGCATCCAAAGGCCCCCTCCGCCGCCGCCGCCGTCAGGGCTGTGAGCTCCGCCCCAGGCCCTGCGCCGCGGGGAACAGCTTGTGAATGTGGTTTGTGTGGGGTGGGGTTGCCATAGGGCCTCAGTTTATCCCACCGGCTCTTTTTCTGCCCTGTGGAAAGGAAAAATAGTGTGATCGGATGCAGGAACAAGGGGAAACTAACATGGCGGGAGAGCCCCAGGCTGACCTGCCCCCTCCTGCCCCATCTGCTGTCTGCGCTCCAGCTGAGCCCGCTGGGACTTCCCCCAAATCCAGGGGAGGAGGAAACAGGACCTGGATAGCCGGCCCTGCAGCACCCACCTCCCCTCACCCCCATGGCTTCCCGCCCCCGTGGCTTCCCGCCCCCACCTGATGAGGCCTGGGGCACTCCCCGGCCCTGCACAAACCCTGCGTGAGCACTGCTTAGCCTGAAGGCTGACCCAGCCGAGCAGAGCCGGGCCTTCCCCGCCTCACTCCAGGGAAGGTCACAGGCGCACCAGGCAGGCTCGCCCTTGAAGCCCTGAGATTTTCTCTGAAAAGGAAAGGGTACCAACCCCAGGTCTCGGCTCCCTGCCGTCCTCAAGGCCACAGAATGAACGCTAGCGAGAAAAACAAAAAAAGGAACAGAAACTATAAAATAAGACAAAAGAAAACGAGACAAGAAAGGAAAAGAGAGAGAGAGAGAGGTGTAAGAGGCGGAGTATGGGATGTAGGGGCAGCATTTTCTAAGAACGTGGGCCCCGGGGTGAGGTGTGGAGAGAGAAACAGGAAGTGAGGGGGTTTCTGAGCCGCCCCTCCCCGGCTCCGGGTTCTGGCCAAGCGTCTGCCCCTCTTGGGCTCGGTTTCCTCACCCGTGAAACGGGAATGACTATAGCCACACAGGGCTGGTGTGAGTGCTGGCCAGGCTGGCCTCGCTTCTCTCCGGGAGGGAACACTTCAAGGACACGCCCTGGCTTTGGCAGAGGCAGCACGGGAGGGGAATGGCCCCTGGGGGAGCCCCAAAACCTGTGGCTAGGGGTTGCTCCTCCTTCCCAGAGAGGTGACGGGGAGGGGGGCGGCAGGTCTTTTGTGAGAAAAACAACATCATGTCCGCCTCCCCAACACACACACACACACACACACACACACACACAATTCATCCCAAACTGCACTTCCCAGAAGCATGCTCCAAGCAGCTATTGGTTCTTGGACATGCCGATTTGGGGGGGAGGGGTCAGGGCAGAAAGGGGGTGTCTGGAGACGGCCCGTTCTCCAGCAGCGGGACCGGCAGGAGAGGTTTCCCGCTAACGTGGCCCTGGCACAGCCCCCATGGCCGGGCGCCAACCACCCACCTTTTCCTCCAGCTCCTTCAGGTGCCGCCGCTGGGCCTCCAGCATGGCTTCCAGCTCCCGGACTCTCTGAAACACACCCCTCCGCGTCAGCAGAGCCCCTTCGGGTTCTACACCCGACCCCCCTGTTCACCAAGGGACAGTGGCTTTCCCTCTCCCAGGAGGCGCTCTCAGCCCCACCCCCAAACTCTGTGTGATCTCACTCACTGACGGAGGATTCTGCCTGCTCCGGAAGTGGAATTAGAGTTCTACAGCGTGTGCTCTTATGACAGGGTCTCTTTAAAACGTAAAATAGCCGAAACCGGTTTGGGGACTGAAAGGTCCCAGGTTCGATTCCGGTCAAGGGCATGTACCTTGGTTGCGGGCATATCCCCAGCAGGGGGTGTGCAGGAGGCAGCTGATCGATGACTCTCTCTCATCGATGTTTCTAACTCTCTCTCTCCCTTCCTCTCTGTACAAAATCAATAAAAATGTTTAAAAATAAATAAAACGTAAAATAAAGATTGGACCACAGCACGGCGGTGTCCTGGGCAGGACCATCAATTTGAGATGGTGCAAAACCCCAGGGGAAGTGGGCAGAGGGAGTAACGGGGGCAGGCCCAGGGTGCAGAGGGCCTGCCTGGGGTTCACCCTGAAAGTCCAGGGTCCTGGGGCCCCCAGTCCTGGAACAGTGCTTGGTGCACAGACATTAGAAAACTCACAAACAACAATGGTGCGATAAGAGAGAGGAAGATGGTGCATTTGTAGAGGGGGCAGGTGCTAAGCGACCCAGGCTGCATCCTCTGGGCAGTGGGGAGCCAAGGAGGGTCTCCGGAGAGGGGGCGCTGTGCTGAGTGTTGGGAAGGGTGAGGTGGGGGTGGTTGGCAGGGAGAGGGACGGTGTCCCGGGAGGGTGTGGTGATGGCCTGTGGTCCCAGCAGATGTCCCTGCAGGCTGGCTGGGGCGAGGACACTAAGGCACCGGGCACCAACATGACACGGGTGAGGAGTGGCCGTGGCCGTGGCCGCCGCACCTGCTGGGCCTGCTGCAGCAGCTCCATGCGCTCCCTCAGGACCTGGCTGTCGAACTCACGGCTCTGCCGGAGGATCTGCCGGCGCACCTTCTCCACGGCGGCCTGCAGGCCCTCCCGCTGGCCCGCGCTCAGCGCCGCGCCCGCCTTCCCGCCCGGCTCCTGCTGCAGCGCGTCGTACAGCGTGGCCTCCAGCTCCTGGATTTTCTGAGGACAGAGCACACAGGCAGGGCCTGGTCGCAAAACGGGGCGGGGGGGACAGTCCCGGCCGGCGCCCCGGCCCGGCCCCTCAGCCCAGGGCGGCAGAGCCCGGGCAGGGACCCGCCGGCGGCCGGCAGCCACGGCAAGGGGGTGAGGGAGCCGGGCCCAGCCCCGCACCCATTTCTGGGAACGTGTCTTCCTGGGCCCGAGGGCAAGAAGAACAAAGGATCATAACCACCCCTTAACCGTGTGATCCAGCCCGGCCAGCGGGGCTCGGGGCCAACCCAGGAACCAGGAGTTTCGCAGTGCGATTCCCCATCAGGGCACAGGCCCGGGTTGCAGGCTTGATCCCCACTGTGGGGCGTTCAGAAGGCAGCCGATGAACGACTCTCTCTCATCACGGATGTTTCTATCTCTCCCTCTCCCTCGCCCTCTCCATCTCCTTCCTCTCTCTCTAAAAGTCAATAAAAGCATATTTTTAAAAAATGTGTGATTCAACTGGTTCTTATTGACCCCTGACCTTGGGAGCAAGGGCCCCTTCCTCAGGGCGCTGAGGGGGGATCGCCCCAAAACGCCACGCCTGGGTCCGCTGTGGCTGAGGAGAAGGGCAGCGTAACCCACGCAGTGGGTGCGATGCCTTCGGAAAGGAAGGCGCCCCCTGCAGCTAATGGCTGCAGTGCGATGGCAGCGCCGGCCTGGGAGGGCTCTGAGCCCCCAGCGTCAGAGGAGGCATTTCTTCTCAGCTCCCCGCGAGGCCACATGTGCCTTCGTTGAGGGACGAAGGAGCTACCTTCTCCGCCCCCTGGATGCCCGCGCACACGGCTTCCCATGGAATAGCTCCGCGCCCCAAGACGGCACAGCCAGGCACCCGTTTGGGGGGGACGGGCAAGACGAGGCACACGGAGGTGTGGGGCGGGGGCAGCGCAAGGGACCCTCTCCTGCTGGGGGCCCTGGCTGCCCGGCCTCCTCAGCGCCAGCACAGTTGGTGGACTCCGGCCCAGCAGGCCAGGCCCAGTCCCACCCATTCTGCAGTGACTGTAATGGCACGGGATCTGGCACGGAGGTGCCAGGCTCTGTCCGCTGGCCTGCCTCTTCCTGCTCGGCGTGGCCTTGACCTCGCACTTCTCGCCGCCGGAAAGGCCAGGCCGCCACCCGAGCGCTCGCTGTGGGTCCTCGGAGCCTCTGACAGACGTGGGACCCTGAACATGAGCTTTGCCTTAGTCACCAGGAAGCCCAGGACCAGTGTGTGGTAAAAGAGCAATACTGGCCTGGCAGGGGTGGCTCAGTGGGTAGGGCATCCCCGTGCATGGAAAGGTTACTGGTTTGATTCCCGGAAAAATCTTTAAAAAAAGAAAAGCAAGAGAGCAAAAGTCCTCACAGCGGGCCATTTTGTTCTGATGAACAGGCGGCCGCTCCCTGCTTTCCCTGTTCCTTCATGACTGTCTCTTTCCTATTCACAGGAACACTGTCTTGAAGGTTTACTGATTGATTGATTGATTGATTGGTTGGTTGGTTTCAGAGAGATAGGGAGAGGGGGAAGGAGGAGGGGAGAGAGAGAGAGAGAGAGAAACCTCAATGAAGAGAGAATCATTGATAGGCTGCCTCCTGCACGTACTCCACTGGGGATTGAGTCTGCAATCCAGGCATGTGCCCTGACTAGGAATCTGAACTGTGACCTCCTGGTTCATAGCTCGACAATCAACCACTGAGCCATGCCAGCAGGGCTGCTTTGCAGTTTTCAGCATGATATTTAAATATAAACAAACGTAAGAGGGTGTGGTTTTTTTTTCATTCATCTGAAATGATTCCTAGAATTGGACAAGCATGTCTAAAGGAGCCACCAAGCTGACTGACTGAAAGTCATGATGATCTGGAAAAATGGACCCTTCCTCTGTGCGGCCATTCCCGTCCCCGCGTGCAGGTGGCGTTTTGGCGGCTCCCAGGCGGCACGCGGAGGACTCGGAACGCGGCCTCCGCCGAGGAGAACGCGGCCTCCACGGTTGAGTCTAAAAAGCCACCGTGCCCACCCCACGCGGTCCTACCAGGTGAGCCTGGTCCAGCGCCTGCTTCCTGTAGTCCAGCTCCTCCTCCAGGTAGCCCTTCTGCTTGCTGAACAGGTCCTGGGGAGGAGGCGCGGTCAGAAGCAGAGGAACCGTTGCAGCCGGCCCAGCGGAGCCTACCGCCTGCCCCGGCTCCGCGCGTCTCCCAGGTTGAGGAGGGGGCTGAGGCCTCAGGAGAGAGGGGTGGGTGGGCGCCTGCTGGCTCCCTGAGTCCTCTGGCAGGAGCCTCACAGGCCCACAGACCCGGATCAGGGCTCCCGCCCTAGTGGGTGTCCAACAGCAGAGAAGGGTCCCCCTCCAACCCCGTCCCCAAGCCTGGATCTCTGGACTCTGGGAAGAGCAGCTACCGTGTTTGGACAGGTTCAAGCCTCGGACTGATGAGAGGGCACAGTTCTCTCATGGCCACGTGCGAGTCCCAGCGTGGAGGGCAGAACCTTCCAGCACAAGTATAGCCAGCTGATGGTCTGAACACCTGGCCCCACGTGCCTGAGTGATGTGGGCTTGGTAGAGTTCAGATGCATGTAACTGAATAGGATCGAAACCCATGAGAATGCTGTGAACATATTGGCCATGCCCTTCCTTTGCCTCCTGGCATTGGCTATAAAATAGAGACACGGCTTGCAGGCCGTGGCACTGTCTCTGCATCCGGGAGCAGTGTCCCACCCAGACCCAGCTTTCACTCTCTTGTCTGTCTTTTCTCCATCCTTCACCGCCCCCTCTCAGGGTCACAGAGCCTGGCTGAGCTGGTGGCACATAGGCGCCCTGGGGCTGAGGATGCCATGGCCATGCCGGCTCGCCACAGGAATCCTTTCTGGTCCTCTTACCACATCCTGAGGCTCCCACCGACCATCTCAGTCCTTCCCAGAGGCAGGTCTTCTGCCCCACGTGGCCAACACCATTCCCCCCACCCCGATGAGTGTCACTGCCCCACGCTCCCTCCCTGCCCTCCAGGTCCCACTCTCAGTCCCAAGCTCCGTCTCTCCAGATCACAGTCGCTCTCCATTGCGAATTGAAGGTTTCAGAGTTAGAGCACCTATACAGTAGCCCTTTGACTTTATCGATGAGGAGACAGAGGGCCCGAGTGGACCAGAGCCTGGTGCTGGATACCCAGTTGCCTAGTGACAGGACTGAAAACCCAGGTCCTGGGCCAGCGCAGAAGCAAGGGACCTAACCCAGGTCCTCACCTGTTCCTAAGGCCCACCCGCACCTTGGGGCTGTGCTGAGAGGGCGTGGGTGCCTTAGTTTCCAGCTCGGGGGTCTTTCCACACCACACACGACTCCAGGCCTGTGCTTCCCGCCCATTCCTTCCTTGCCTCTCATTTCTGGTCTCAGAAGGCTCAACAGTTCTCTCTTCTGACACCCCCGCCTGCCTCCCTCCCCATCCAGCTGCCCACACGCTCCCAGTGAAAAACCACCAGCAGGCGCCCGGTGCTGTGCAGAAACAGACTGTGCATCAGGGGTCTCTCGGCTCCACAGCCCCATGAGGTGGAGATGGAACCCCACTTATGGCTAAGGAAACGGAGGTCTGGGGTTCCTTCCCAGGCGCTCCGGCCCGTAAGGAGAGACGCCTCAGTATCCCCAACGTGCCTCCCGGACTGCACGCCGCACAGTGGCACCACGGGCTTGGGGGCCGCTCCTGGCAGCAGGTGCCCCGCGTTCAGTACTGAACCCCTGAACCAGGCCCGGACAGCAGAGATGCCCGAAACATATAGTAAGTGAACAGAGAGGTGGATGGATGACCACCGTTACCCAGAAAGGCGCCAGGGCAAAAGCAAGAGAAATGCGTGCGAATAAGTAAGGAAAACGCACGCCGGCTTTCCTGGGGCGAGGGCAGGGGGGAGGGGGAAGGGGGGAAGGGGGGAAGGGGGGAGGTCACCTGAGCTCTTCCCCGCCTCTTCCGGCTCTGGGCGCTTACCTTTTCCCGCTCCAGGTCCAGCATTTTCTGGGTCAGGGCCGCCTCGGTGCCCTCAATCTGTTTCAGCCACTGGAAGGGGGGGCGGGGGGAGAAGTGGCTGAGGACCGGGGCTCCCATGAGGCGGACGTGCGGGCCTCTTCCCAGGTGGGCTCCTGGCCCAGAGGCGAGGCCCGGTCACACCCCAGGGGCGTCCTCAGGATGGAATGTCAGTCTCTGCAGATGTTCCAGCTGTTTGCTCAGGGACCGGCCGGGTCATGGATACACACGTGTGGGCACGTGTCGGTGGATGGGTGTGGGGGTTACCAGGCGAGCCCCTGAGTACCGGAGGCAGTGGGCACGCGTGGTGTGGGAGCCTGCCCAGCACGTGGTGGGCCCGAGCGTGTGGCATCTGGACTCTGCAGCGGGCCGTGAGCAGCACGGTGGCCACTCTGCTGTGTGCTATGAGGCTGGCCACCTGTCCGGGCCTCCTCCAGCCCCTCGCAGCCGTGCCAGGGAGAAGCCAGCATCACCCCATTTTACAGGTGAGGACCTGGGGGTGAGGATCTGAGGTTAAGTCTCTTGTCCAAGGTGTGGGGAGTGGGGATTTTGAACCCAGCCCTCAGCACTGCCCCTGCAGCCCCGCCCCCCAGGCACGTCTGAGCAGCCAGTGCACCAGGGGATGCAGGCAGGAGAGGGGTCCGGCCATGCAGGGGTGCAGCCGTGAGAGCCTGAGAGCCACATGTGCTCAGTACCGGTGTGCGAGGGGCTGAGGGAGGCGGGCACAGCTGCTGAGGGTTGAGGCAGGGGCCGCTGTTCCCAGGCTGCAGGCTCCACACAGGACTCACCGCACCCCTACAGCCTGGGACGCAGCGGCCCTGCACCTCGGGGCTGTGCTGAGGGGGCGCTGGTGCCTTAGGGACAGGTGAGCGTGTTTTGGGCAGGGAAACGGTTTCATTCCTCACATCCTGACGTCAGCAGTCGTGAGATGAACAAACTAAAACGGGAGTCGGTGTCAGTGACCACGGCCGGCTGCTCCCAGGACAGGCTCTGCAGGACGTGATGTCCTCCTCCTCCCAGGCACACGAGCGCGGGGCTCAAAGGGACGGGACAGGTCCTCCCCCGCGGCGGACAGAAGTCCGGGCCACGAGCAGCGTGGGCAGGCGAGGTCGCGAACTCCACGTCGGAGTCTGCCGTGTCCGGGGCCTCGCTCTGGGAGTGGGAGCCGCAGGGCTGGGGCAGGCGGTGGCCAGTCCGCCCCCAGGCCTGGAGGAGTCTGGGGAGCCCGGCAGGTGCCCCTCTCCCCCCAGCTCTCACTGCCCACATGTGCCGGGCGGACCCTGTAACCCAGCTCCCCCTCAGGGACGCCCTGGCCGGGACTCCGGGCCAGCCATTAGCAAGCCTGACCGGGGGGCCTCAGTCGCCTTCTCTGATCCACATGACCAGCGGGAACATAGGCTTTTTCCAGCTCCCATCTTTCTGATGAGCCTTGGACTTGAGGGAAAGGAGGTGACTCGCCCTCACCTGTGAACCTCCAGGGCCCTGTGTCCAGGCCTCTCTGAGGGGCATGTGCCGTGTGGTGGGAAGGGCAAGACCCGGTCCCTGACCTTGGCCTCCCCTGACCAGAGGCGGGTCTAGGTGCTGGGCTGGGGCAGGGCTTCCCGGCAGTGAGGGGAGGAGGCCTTGACTCGAGGTCACCGAGGACAGCCTGGGACGGCCCGCCCTGGTTTACATGGGTCCACGCCCACGCTACAAAGCAGGCCTGGCCTCTCACCCGAGAACTGCGAGGCCTGTTTGCTCAGGTGCTGGTTTGGGTGGCAGGCCGGAGCCGCGGTGTGATGGTGGAGGGGTGCCGGCAGAGTCAGCAGGGCCTCTGATCCCGTGAGAACTGCTCTGCAGGGTGACCGGCCAGGCCGTCTGACGGGGACCGCCCCTATCTCAGCTGAGAGGCCCACGTCCCTGGAAAACCCTGGGTGCGGAGCAAGCCCCACGGGTGGCCACCCAGCTGCCTTGTCATTGCTCTCGGTGGGTCCCACTGACCCGCTTTCTGGGGGGCTCACAGCACCCCATTCTCTCTAAGGGAGAGAGCCACTCCTGGGCATTTCACCTTTGCTCACGGACAGGTGGCAGGATGTGAAAACACCTGTCTCAGTCCAGTCCCCAAGACAGCCCCCAAACAGGGAGCTGGACCCCATCCCCCTGGCAGAGTTCAGATCCTCAACAGGAGCCCCAGCAGCAGCTTCTGCTCGCACCCACCCATGTGGGATCTGGCAGCTGAGGGAGGAGCTGGCAGGAAGGGGAGGAGCTGATGGAGAGAGGAACTGGAGGGGGGAGGAGCTGATTGCTGGGGGTGGGGAGGGGAGCTGGGGAGGGAAGAGCTGGGAGGGGAGAGGAGGCTGATGCAGTTCTTTGTGGTCAGGGCACCCATGGTGCCAGGCTGACCAGGCGGGAGGATTCTGGGTGTCGGGCAGATGGAAGCAGCCAGAAGAGGCTAGAGGAAGTGGGTGGGTGACAGAAACCAGACAGACTGTAGCCACAGCCAGGCAGGCCCCAGGCCCTCAGCGGTGAGGGAGAAGCCAGCATCATGGCCCCTCGGGCAGCGCTGCCCCAGAAACCGGGCTGACAAAGCGCCCAGAACCCTCTCTCCATCACCGGCCAGGCCACGCCCGGAGCCTCCCGGCCGGAGGTGAAATGGGAGAGAGACACAGGGATCGATGCTCACCCCAGGGTGGTGATAGGAAGAAACGTGGGAATGCCCTCAGCGCCTCACCGTGGAGGGAAGGCTGAGCGTGGCGGGGCCACCCGGCGGGACGGCGGGGGCACAGCAGGGGACTGACGGGAGGCTCAGCCTGGAAGTGTGAGGGGTTCAGTCCATGTGAACAGGGGAGTGGGCAGGGCCGAAGGGGCCGGCCTGACGGGGTTACTTCCTTCCCTGGTCTGCGAGTTTCCCACGTGCGCATGCACCACAGACCGACAGACCGGCCTGCGCCCTAAGCGAGACCCGAGGGCAGTGGGTGCTGGGCTCTACCTTCTCACACAGCGCCAGCACAGTCCCGGCCTGGATGATGGCCACCTGCTCCTCGTTCCTCAGGTTCTAAAACACAAAACCGGGCAAGGCCGTTTGGCACGGGCTCCCACAGACTCTCAGCGCCAGACAGTCCTCTCCGAGCAGTGTCCTCCACCCTCTCAAGGTCAGCCCCACCCTCTCAAGGTCATCCCACTCTCTCAAGGTCAGCCCACATTCTCAAGGTCAACCTTCACTCTCTCAAAGTCACCGTTACCTTCTCAAGGTCAGCCCCACCCTCTCAAGGTCATCCCACTCTCTCAAGGTCAGCCCACATTCTCAAGGTCAACCTTCACTCTCTCAAAGTCACCGTTACCTTCTCAAGGTCAGTCCCACCCTCTCAAGATTAGCCCCCAGCCTCAAGGTCAGCTTTCAATGGCAGAGGCATTCCCTCTGAGGGGCTCGGAGATGAGCTAATGGAGAACTCCACTTCCGGCAAGTGCAGGCCCAGCCGCCCCTGGGAACACGGCCATATAACGGCCGTACATTGTACGTATCCCATCCCTTACGCTAAGAAGAAATGAAAACAGAACAGAGCCACACAGAGTACACCGGAGCACCACGAGAACACGGACCCACAGCCAGTCGCTCATAGTTACCCCGTTATCGCCAAGGATATCTAACTTCTTCATGAGGTCGGAAACATCCACGTCCTGGAAGAGACGCCAACGTTCATTTCTGAGTGAGCCACAGAATACATCATGCAAGGCTCTGTGCCACAGTCCTCACTGCTCCCTACGGCCTCCCCTTCCTCCTCTAAGGACACCCAGGCCCCTCCCCTTCCTCCTCTCACAGGAAACCAAGGCTCCTCCCCTTCCTCCTCTCACAGGACAGCCAGGCCCCTCCCCTTCCTCCTCTTACCAGGACACCCAGGCCCCTCCCCTTCCTCCTCTCACAGGGACACCCAGGCCCCTCCTCTTCCTCCTCTCACAGGAAACCAAGGCCCCTCCCCTTCCTCCTCTTACAGGGACACCCAGGCCCCTCCTCTTCCTGCTCTTACAGGACACCCAGGCCCCTCTCCTTCCTCCTCTCACAGGGACACCCAGACCCCTCCTCTTCCTCCTCTCACAGGAAACCAAGGCCCCTCCCCTTCCTCCTCTTACAGGGACACCCAGGCCCCTCCCCTTCCTCCTCTTACAAGGACACCCAGGCCCCTCCCCTTTCTCCTCTTACAGGAAACCCAGGCCCCTCCTCTTCCTCCCTTTTCAGGACAACCAGGCCCCTCCCCTTCCTCCTCTTACAAGGACACCCAGGCCCCTCCCCTTTCTCCTCTTACAGGAAACCCAGGCCCCTCCTCTTCCTCCCTTTTCAGGACAACCAGGCCCCTCCCCTTCCTCCTCTTACAAGGACACCCAGGCCCCTCCCCTTCCTCCTCTTACAGGGACACCCAGGCCCCTCCCCTTCCTCCTCTCACAGGGACACCCAGGCCCCTCCCCTTCCTCCTCTCACAGGGACACCCAGGCCCCTCCCCTTCCTCCTCTCACAGGGACACCCAGGCCCCTCCCCTTCTTCCTCTTAAAGGGCCGGGGGGGGGGGGGCCGGGGGGGGGCTGAGTCATCCCAGCAGCTCCTTTGGCTTAGGTCCCTGCTTTCCAGAACGGCCAACGCAGCCTGTGGGCCAGGAGGACCGTCCCAGGAGAGGGACAGACACTGGGCTGTTAGACAACCACGGCTGCCCTGTCCACGGTGCCCCCTGCCTGACGGGCACCACGCTGAGTGCTCCTCTTGGTTACCAGACCACTCAGTTCTCATCAACGAAAAAAAGACGGAAGGTCAGGGAGGTCATGGGCCAGCGCTGGCGTTAATTCAAGGCCACTTCCCATTTCTGTTCTTTTATCGTGGGGTACAAATAGGATAACCATTGGTGATTCACTGAAATAATTAACTATGACTTTTAGGATCGGGGGGGGGCAGGGGTCTCTTATGAAAGCACATTCTGTCCCTGGCACCCCTCCCCGCCCAGCCCTGCCCTGCACCCAGCCCCTGGCCCGCTACCTTCACTCCTTCCTGGTGGCAGAACAGCTGGAGGGCGCTGCCGTGGTTCTCGGGGAAGCTGGCGATTTGGAGGTTAAAGGCGGGTGACCTCCGCTCTCTCTCCTGGGGAAAAGATTGGGTTGAAACACAGCACTTGACTGCATGAGGTACCACTTGCCACTTCCCCCTCGTTACTTGGCAAAAACTAGCCAATTCCAGCGGGCAAAGACGCTCCTGCAGAGCGCCCATTCAGACTGCGGCCTCCTGGTCAGTGGGACGCCCCGGCCTCCGGCGGACGCCTCTTCCCCTCCAACCCGGGAGCCGGGGAGAAGCGGTTCACCGCGGCCCAGAGGGGAGCCAGGAGGCACACACACCGCGAACTTCCGTGCTGGGAGCGAGCGCCCAAGGCCCAAGGGCCCCCCCCCCCCCCCACAGCCCTGGGCTCATGACCCCGTGTGACCCTCGCACAGCCCTCGTGGCAGGCGTGGTGCTTTCCTTCTGTGGACGGGAGACGGGGTGGCAGCCAGCCGGGACCCCAGCCCCACGTACTTGGATCTGCGACTTCGTTCCGGTGCTTAACCTAAGGTGACCAGACGTCCCGCTTTTGGCAGGACCGTCCTGATTTTTAACAATCGGGACTTTTTTAAAACGCCATGGAATGCAGGACAAATTGCTAACAAATTGTTAAAAATCGGGACGCCCGGTCACCTTAGCTTAACCCCCTCACACCCCAGCGGCCACCCCAGTCCTCCTTGGCTGGAGTCCAATCTCAGCGACCCCGGGAGGAGGACAAGCGTTCTCCCGGGAGAGGCTCTTACTCATCACCGAGAGGCGGCACGTTTTCAGAAAGGACAGCACCGCCCGGGCACCTGCAGGACAAGTGCCCAGCGGCCAGCCGTCCCGGGCGAAGGTTCCTCCCGGCTGCCCTTCCCCCGGGAGCCGGACAGGCCGGCGGCAGGACCTTCGCGAATGCTCCCCGGACCTCACACCGCCCCTTCCTCCGGACTGCAGTGAGGCCACAGCAGGCTTCGCCATGTCAGGGGGCTCTGAGTGATGGCTCCTCCACCACTGAGGGGGGCAGCGTGGCCAAGGGCCTCGTTTAGGGCAGGGGTCGGCAAACTCAACAGTCAACAGAGCGGTTTGCCGACCACTGGGTTAGGGGAAAGGTTGTAGCAGATACAGGGGAGAGGAAGTCCTTCATCCAATCAGCTTCCCTCTCACCTGGGCTTCTCATGGTCTAAAGGAACCTTATCCGCCTTCTGAGCCAAGAAACTGGAACTGGCCACTGCTCCAGCCAATGGCTGCCTTTCTGCCCACTGACATGGCATCTCCGTAGAAAAGGTCGTAAGAGCCAAAACCGGTTTGGCTCGGTGGATAGAGCGTCAGCCTATGGACTCAAGGGTCCCAGGTTCGACTCCAGTCAAGGGCATGTATCTTGGTTGCGGGCACATCCCCAGTGGGGGATGTGCAGGAGGCAGCTGATCGATGTTTCTCTCTCATTGATGTTTCTGGCTCTCTATCCCTCTCCCTTCCTCTCTACAAAAAATCAATAAAATGTATTTTTTTTAAAAATAGAAAAAAGATAAGGTCATTAGAGAAAGCTGCTATTCCATGTGACTGGGAGTTAGGAAATCACTGAATGGCTCCGAAGACAACGGAGAGGCCTGAAGACAATTCTAGTCAGCTGAGCAGCGCTGGCAGGATGCTCACGAGGATGAGGAATAGCAAAGACCCCTCAAAGGCGTCCTAACAGGGCCGACGCATCCATAGTGCCCGCAACCTCACTTAACTTCTGATTTCTGCTGCACAAACGGAACCCCGGCTCGCACGAGCGAGAGCCACGGGCAGTCACCCTGGCTCCTGAGGCCCCGCCGGGGTCCAGGCCAGCGACCGACGACCAGACGCCAGGTTCCAGCCAAAACAGAACTGTCACGGAAGCCGGAGGAGAAAGCAACGTCGGAAACGTGGCCCGAGGGTCCCGCGCATGCAGAGGCCAGCGGGGCCGTCCTGCAGGGACCGTCACCAGTGCAGGGGATGTTCGGGGCGCCGGGGGAGTGTTCAGCGAAAACAGACGCACAGGAAGAAGTAGGAGGTGACATGGCAGCGAGGCGCTAGGGACAGGAAGGTGTCCACGGGAAGCCACGAAACTGTCGGCATTGTCACCCGAGGCCCGCCTGTGCAGGGGGAGCAACTGAAGGTTTAACGCAATGTCTAGCCCGGCCGGTGTGGCTCAGGGGTTAGCATCGACCTGGGAACCAGGAAGTCACGGTTTGATTCCCTGTCAGGGCACAGGCCCGGGTTGTGGGCTCCATCCCCAGGGTGGGGCATGCAAGAGGAAGCTGGTCCATGATCCTCTCTCATCATTGATATTTCTCTCTCATCCTCTCCCTTCCTCTCTGAAATCAATAAAAAAAATGTCTAATAAAAGCAAGTAAACAAACAAAAACCTCGCGATGTCTACCGTGTACAATGCTCAGTCGCCCTCTGGGCCAGGGAGTGGCTTCCAGCTGCATCTGGGTTACGGGAAGGAACTGTGAGTCCCAGGCTGCGATGCCAGGTCTGTGTGCTCCGGAGCAAAGAGCTGGAGCGACGCGGTGGTTTCCCGGTTCACTTACCTGGCTTCCTGGGCCAACAGAAAGCGGGCCAGACCAGCGCGCACACGGCACAGGCCGCTGGGGACAGCAAGGCGCCACGCACAGAATGCGGGGGCCACTCTACCCGGCACAGCCTGCGGCAGGGCTGCTGCGGCCCGGCCAGCAGAGGGCGCACCGGGCGGCCGGCATGCAGGCCAGAGGTCGTTGTGGGAATGAAACACAAATAAAAAAGGCAAACTATTGCAAAAACAAATCATTTTTTATTAAGTGCAAAACAAGCCGTAGGCAATAAATAGTGAGCTCTGGTACAGGTCCGTGGACCGCGGCGAGCATCCCCCACCCCCGGGACGTTAAGGCAGTGAAATCATTGTGAACATACAGGTTTCAAAGAAAAAGAAAGGGACCCCGGGGCGCGCCCCCCTTCCTCATGCTCGGCGGCGGGGCGGGCGTCACAGGAATTTCAGTTTGGACTCAAAGAGAATGTCCGCGCCGTTCGAGAGCTTACAACACAGGGAGTCCCTTACTTCGAGCTCGAGCACCCTGAACTCGAGCAGCTCGTTCTGGTCCCGCGCGTCCTGCATGTCGCTCTTCAGCTGGCGCTCCTCCATCTCCAGCCGGTGCACCTGGAGCAGACACAGCGCGGCTCAGTGGGCGGCGCCGCCGTCCCCCCCCCCCCCCCCGGGGCCACGAGGGGCGTGTGGCCCCGGACCGGGAGGGCGGGGCGGGAGGGGGCCGTGGCGAGAAGCCGGGCGGGTGCAGCACCCCGAGCCTGGCCCGGAGGAGGGCTGCCTCATGCATGTGCTGAATAGATGGGTGATGGGGAAACTGAGGCCCAGAGCGAGGAAGTCCCTGCCTTCCCTGAGGTCGACGGTGGGGAAGGAAGAGTGACCTGTCCTTGTCCTTCTAATCCGGGCGAGTCCAGCAGCCACAAAGGTGCAGCCGCTGGAGGCCCAGGGCTGGAGAAGGTCATGCAGGCTGCCCTCCAGCTCCCCCCAACCCCGTCCCCCTCTCCCCACTGGGGGTCTCTGGCTGAGCTACTAGCTGCCCTGCGCCTCAGTGGCTTCCAAGGAGAACAGCCGCCCGAGGCCCCTGGCTGCAGGACTGAGAGAGTCAGGAGCACTCTGACCTCTCCCCGGGGAGCACTCTGACCTCACCCCGGGGAGCACTCTGACCTCACCCCGGGGAGCACTCTGACCTCACCCCGGGGAGCACTCCGACCTCACCCCGGGGAGCACTCTGACCTCACCCCGGGGGGACTGGAGAGGGGTCCTGCCCCCGCGGGCAGTGGAGACAGCCCCAGAGCTTCCTGTGGCCCCGGCACTGGGCTAGCAGGTCAGACAGCTCTCTCCCCCGATGCACAGACTGCCTCAGGGGACAGCGGCCCAAATGCAAACGACCACAAGGGGTCAGGGCAGAGCTGGGGCTGCGCGGAGGCCCTGCCCCGTGCCAGGGCCAGGCCAGGCTATCCCGCCCTGGCATCCAGGACGCCTAAAGCCCAGGCCTGGCACCTGGGGCCCAGAAGGTGCAGCAGGGCACACCGGGAGGGACACCGAGTCCCCGGTGGCGCCAGGGCTTGGGGGGGGGGCTTCACGTGGGCACGGGGGACCTCTATGGGGGAGGGCAGGGAGTTCCCAAAACCACACTATGGCGATGGCTGCACCACTCACTAAACTGCAGACAGGTGAGAAAAAGTTAAGCTAAAGTCTGTCCCAAAGCATGAGGAGAGAACTCTCTCCTGGAGAGAGTTCCGGAAAGTTCCATGACCGGCAAGGGAGGGCAGGCTCAGCTCTGCCAGCACCGTGGCCTCCAGTCCATAAACTGGACCAGGACAGCCAGTCAATCAGTGTCCTAGGCCCGTCCGCTGGGGTGGGGGCTCTGGAAGCCCCATCAGGACAGACACATGACCTTGTCTGCAGGTGCCCGTGACCTTGTCTGCAGGTGCCCTGGGGAAGGCCCAGATCAGCCCTTCTGCCCCTCCCTAGGACAGAGCCAGCACCAGGGCCCAGGATCCCCCAGGAACCGGGCTCTGATGAATGCAAGGAAGGGGTCTCCCTCAGAGCCGGCCTGGGGTGCTGCCAGGAGAGGCTGGGAGACTCGGGGCCACAGCGGCCTCGGAGGCCGGCGGGCACGGGGGAGGGACAGGCGCACGTACCTTCTCCTGCAGCTCCTGGTTGGTCCTCATGAGCAGCTGCTTGTCCTCCACCCACGTGGAGCCCTGAGGAGAAGCACCGGGCATGTCCCCACGCACACGGCCGAGCCGCCGTGGCCACGGCAGAGCCCCGGGGGCGGGGCTCCAGGGAGGATGGCCGCTAGAACAACCTCGCGGGTCCCCAACCTCGAACCCCGGGAGAGAGAAGCGGCTGGTTTGTGGAATACCCTGCTCCCGGCTCACGTCCCTAAAAGCGTAGGGACTGGGGTCTGTATCAGCGACAGAAACAGCCGCGCTGTGACGGGGCCAGGTCGGCCCGCAGACCCCTCTCCTGCCGGTTCGCCACGGGCCGGCGTCCCCACAGCGGCACCCTCATCCCCTGGCCCTGACCACGGCCACCCCGTCAGCCCCTGAGCACAGGGCACTGGCCCTCCTGTCACTGCGTCCCCGGCGCCCGACAGGATGCCGGCCACACGGCCAGGGCTCAGTGAAGACAGAGGGCGGTGAGTGACGGAAGGAAGACACTCCTCCCCGCTGTGCTCCAGGGGCTCCGCCTTCCTCCTCCCAGCAGCTAGGGTGCGCCCTGGAGGCTCCTACCCTCCCCACCCCCTGCTGTCACCAGGCCTGACCAGGTGCAGGGGCTCATACACGGGGGTGGCGCTAATCGGAGAAGCACGGGGCCGGGTTTTATGGGACAGTCACAGCCTGGAGACCGGGGCGGGGGCGGGCCTCTGCCGAGATTGGCAGCTGGCGGCAGGCCCAGCTCATCGGCACAGTTAAAGCCCGGGCGTCAATGGCAGCTTTCCCTCAGACACAAGTCAGAAAGGATTTGGCAACCACTTTGCTTTTGGGATTGTGTCCTATTTTCGTGCAAACAAACAGGAAGTGAGCCAGGTCAGAGCTTCAGAACGTGTAGGTCTTAAAGGCCCGCACGCAGGCCCGCACGCAGGGCTGGGGTGTTCTTGCCTGGCTTCCGCTGGTGCTTTCCCCCCTTAATGTCTCCCTCCGGCCCCAGGGACATCACACAACCACTGCTCACCTGACCCCTCTCGGCCAGCAACTTCTCCAAGTCCTCGATCTTGGCCTGACACCTCAGCAGGTCGGCTTGCAGCTGCTCCCGGGTCTGGAATGAAGAGGCCAGAAGGTGAGCCGGTGGCCAAGCTGCAGGAAGGGTCACGCTGCAGCGCAGGCCTCAGAAACGGCCCGTGTTCAGAGCATGCGCTCCCACGTAGCCCCCCGGGGGCTGCCAGCTCTGCCCTCGGAGGAAACATCCGGAGAACCAAAGGCCTGCGCGTTGGCAGGTCTGCCCCTGTGTTATAGACAAGGACGCAGAGGCCTGGGGAGGGGCAGTGCTTCCGGGCGAGTCCAGCCGCCACCGAGGCGCACCTGCTGGAGGCCCAGGGCTGGAGAAGGTCATGCTGGCTGCTCTCCAGCTCCCCACCCCTCCAGGAGCCTCTGGCTGAGCTCCTGACGGGCCTGCGCCTCAGTGGCTTCCAAGGAGAGCAGCCGCTGGAGTTCCCTGGCTGCAGGACTGAGTCACAGAGAACAAAAGGGAGGGAGCCCAGTCCAGAGGCTGCTCACACGCAATCACTAGCACCACTGAGCACTTTCACACCTGCCTGGAGATCTCAGGGGCCCTGTATCTATCGCCCAGGGCGAGGGCTGAGCACTGAGGGTGGCTAACAGGGAGTGGAGGGGACGGGGCACACTGGACACACACGGTCCATCTCGGGGAAAACGGCCACTCAGCTGACGCCACATGCTACCCGTACAGCCGGGAGCCTGCCGCTGCAGAGGTTCTCACTCCCCGAGAGAAGCGGGCACCTGGAGGGCTATGCAAACTCTCCTGACTTTTCAATATCAAATAAAAGTTCCAATAAAACCCACATGCCCTGGCTGGTTTGGCTCAGTGGATAGAGCGTCAGCCTGCGGACGGAAGGGTCCCTGGTTCCATTCTGGCCAAGGGCACTTGCCTGGGTAGCAGGTTTGATCCCTAGTGGGGGGCGTGCAGGAGGCAGCCGATCAATGATTCTCTCTCATCAATGATGTTTCTCTCTCTCCCTCTCCCTTCCTCTCTGACATCAATAAAATATATATTTTTTAAAACACACACACAAAAAACACACACACATGGCTCAGCTCAAACCATGCCCAGCCATGTGCCTTGTCGGACTTACACGTTATGGGCCAGAGTTGATCGTGGCTCAGGAGCGCCCTCCCCGCAGCCTCCCTCGCCACCCCGCCTCTCGGGGTGAACGGGGTGTGCAATGGCCCCGGTGTGCTCTCCAGTCCCCTCGCTCTCGGAAGGAGGGCAAGCAGCCCCGGTGTGGTGACCCCCGAAGGCAGGGAAGGACCAGCAGGTGGGCGTTACAGGAAGACAGAGCTCAGCCCAGCACCAGGGCAGGCGTGGACGGACCCGGTGGCCGGCAGGGGCTGAGGCACCCTGACAGACCCTCAGGTTTCCGTGGGGATTGGCAAACGCTGGGACACTGCCGCCACGAGAGTTTGTGATGTGTCCCCCCAATCCTGTCACCTCTCAGATCCTCTCCAAGCTACCCCCCGGGCGACAGGACAGAACCACAGGGTGACAGGACAGAACCACAGGGCGATGGGACAGAACCACAGGGCGATGGGACAGAACCACAGGGCGATGGGACAGTACCAGCCTCCCGGCCGGTGCGCACTCACCCGGGCCTCCCGCTCGGCGTCCAGCGTGCCCCCCACCTGCTCCTGCAGGAGGGCGTAGGCGCGCTGCAGGGCCTGGTACTCCCTGGTTAGCTGGCAGAACCGCAGGTCGGCCTCCTCCCTGGTGGTCGTCTGGAGGGCGAGGAGGGAACCATGACAGTGTGACTGGGTGTGGCCCGGGGCAGGGCCACCCCGCTGCCGCCCACGATGGCCGGGAACCTCCGGGCCAGGAGTGGACAGCGCTGAGCGACACCGTGGCCGACCCTGGCACCCAGAGTCCTGTGACCTGGGCCAGCTCCGACATGCAGGGACTATGTGCCTGAGCCCCCACAGCACCGCCCCCACCGGGACCTCCTCCACAGAGGTGACACTGCGCGGGCGGAAACACGCCTGCAGGGGGCGTCAGTCAGCGTGTTGTCTGCACACGCCCGTCACAGGGCTGTCGAGTTAAATGCCCACGTGCCCCCACGCGACACAGTCCCGTGTGCTGGCGAGAGGTCACTGTGGAGCAGGGCTTCGTTGCCGAGAGACACCTGTTACTGTGGCTGAGGAGAGAAATCAAAAGCCCGCGCCTGGCATGGTCCATTTCGCTCTGTTTTCCCAGGAAAACTGAGCTGGGGTGGGGGCGGGGAGAGAGGACACCCCTCTTCACACCCGGTGAGCCGGGTGCCAGGAAAGGGGGAGGGCCCTCGGCTGGGGGCCTCCAGTGGGTTCACACCTGCCTCCCCTCAGTGTGCAACCTCTCCCACACACACCTGCTTCGTAAGGGAAGGCGGCAGCCTGCTGCTTCCACTGGGAGGTGTGGGGGTGTGCGCGCGTGTGCATGCATGTGCATCTGTGTGTGTGTGTCTGTGCAGGTGTGTGTGTGTGTGGCAGAATGAGGGACCAGCCTCGACACACCAATTTCAATCCAAAGGATGAGTCACCCCAGGCGCCCTCCGTCCTGGGGGAGGGGAGGGACCCACGCCAGCCTGTGCCGCCGACCGTTCAGAGCCCGCAAAGGGGGCCCCCTCCCCTGACCACAGCTGTGCCGCCCCCGGTCCCCCGGGCAGGGCGGGAGCTCTAAGTGGGGCGCAGGGGCCCAGGGTGCACTCACGTCGTCCAGGTCCTCCTCGGGCGTAGCCGGGGCCCGGTCCGTCCTGTCCGTGTTGCAGGACGTCTCCGACAGGGTCTCCGAGTCCACCGACTCCTCGTCAAATCCAAAAAACGTCTCCACAACATGCTTCTGCGGAGGCAAATGTGGACGTGTGAGGAGCAGTCTCAGGCCGCCAGGTCCCCAGCCACAGCAGCCTCCGGGCCGCAGGGCACCCTGGGCTGGGGGCTCCCAACGGGCTGGCGGGAAGGGAGGCAGGACAGGGGGGCGCTGCAGCAGGCCGGACCCTGGCTCCGGGCAGGGCTACTGGCCTTCCGCCCCTCCAAGGGACCTGGAACCTGCTCACCTGTGGGCGCAAAGCAAGGTCACCCAGGCTTTGCCCACGTGCGGACACTCAGGGAGCAGCACGCATGCACGAAGGAGCGAGGCGGGCCAGGGGGAGGGTTCTGGACACCACACCCAGGGAAAAGCTAACGGGCGAAGACGGGCCCTGAGCTCCCGTGAGCATGTGGCCCGGTCCTCACCAGGCCTGTGCAGAGAGGCAACGTTTCTTTAACTTTCTATTACGGGAAACTTCGAGCATTTGTAAAGTTAGAAGGAATAGTGAGTGGACCCTCACGCACCCATCACTCAGAGTCAGAGGCGATGTTAACTCTGGTCACTGTGTAATGACCTCCCGATTACCCTACCCAGCACTTCTCCCACCCCATTCATTCATTCACATTCACACTCACTCATTCATTCATTCACATACACATTCATTCACCCCCTCACTCATTCCTTCAGCAGGCACCTGACGGAGCACCTCCTATGGGTCAGACACTGGGAGGGTGGGGCCTGGGGACTGCAGACACCAGACACAGTCTCCAGATCATCTTGGTTCAGGAACATGGTCTTTACCCCCAAACAATCCCTGGGGAGGATTTTTATTTAATTTTATAATCAACAAGAGGCCTGGTGCATGAAATTCGTGCAGGGGAGGGGGACTCCCTCAGCCCAGCCTGCACCCTCTCCAATCCAGGACCCCTCGGGGGATGTACAACTGCTGGCTCCTAACCACTCACCTGCCTGCCTGCCTGATCGCCCCTAACCCCTCTGCCTGCCTGCCTTATGCACCTAACTGCTCCCCTGCCCTGATTTCCCCTAACCACCTCTGCCTGCCTGCCTGCCTGATCAACCCAACCTCTCTACCTCCCTGCCTGATGGCCCCTAATCCCTTTGCCTGACTGCCTGCCTGGTCACCCCTAACCACTCTGCCTGCCTGATGCCCCTAACTGCTCTCCCCTGCCAGACTGATCACCCCTAACCACCTCTGCCTTGGCCCCCACCACCGTGGCTTTGGCCAGAAAGACGTCTGGAAGATGCCAGATCTAATTAGCATATTACCCTTTTATTAGTATAGTTGGCTGTTTCTCATGATCATGAAGAATGAACCATGACTAACTCCAGAGCCAAGCCCCAGATCTCACTGGTGTGTCCAGACCTGGCTTCGCCCAGACCCCCTGGGCCCCCCTTCCCCCCACCTGAGGAACCAGGGGAGGGGCAGGGGCGCACCCACGTGCTAAGGCACCTCCCACTCTCTGCAGCCTTCTGCTCCCAAATGTACAAAGACTGGGGCTGGGCCCGCTCCCCACAGTGTAACCGAGGGACAGCTCCCACGCCAGCAGGGGGAGGAGAGGGAGGGCCTTGTCACCAGGAGTCCGTTTCCGAAGGGGCGGGCGCTGTGGGAAGCAGCCGACCACACCACACGGCACCTCAACATCCCTGCCCTTGGCACCTGTCTTCCGCTGCCACTCCCGCCTCGCGCCCCGTTTTTGTTTTGTTTTTTAATACACGTGGGGCAGGAACCGAACTCCTGGCTACGGCCAGCGTCTCCCCTGCAGCTCATGGGCCCAGTGGGCAGTGACGCACCCCCACAGCCCGCCGCTCCCACTGCCCACCCAGTGCCCCCCACGGAGCTCCGCCCCGTTAGCCGCTCAGGCCAAACCCCCAGGTGCCCTCGCTGCTCCTGGCCCTCCCCTGCGGGCTCCACCTCAAGCCCAAGCTGAGCCCCTGTGCCCCGGCCCCTTTCTCCTGGTCCAGCCACGGGCCTCCCTCGTGAAGTCACCAAACTGCCTCCCGCTGGCCTCGGCCTCCCTTGTCTGCACCCTGGCGGCCAGTAACCGCTGCAGCCTCCTCCCGTCCCTCCTCTCTTTGGGTTAATCCTCACCCGAGTACATCTTTTCCCCTGGGTAAAGGAGGGCCGGGGAGGGAGGGAGAGAGAGAAACACCGATGTGAGAGAGGCACACCCTGCATGCGCCCCGACCAGGGACAGAGAGGGAATCCATAACCGGGGCACAAGCCCTTGGCCAGGAATCGAACCCACAACCCCTCGGTGTGAGGACTGACACTCTAACCACTGGGACACACCAGCCAGGCCTCACCCTCCTCTACGGCTGTGCTTCATCCACTCCGCCAAGCCTGCCCGGGCCTCCCAGGTGCCTGGCGCAGGGCCTGGCACTGCCCAGACACGCAGGCTCCCTCCTCACTCCCCCAAGTCCGCACAGATGCAGCCTGATCCAGAACGCTGCCCTGACCCCACCAACGCCTCCCAGCCTGTCCCCACCGGCGCTCACCTGTCTCCTCCTCTCACCGCCGCCGGCAGGTTACTGGCACAGATGCTCTGCTTTAGGCTTATCACTGTCTTCCCGCCGGGCTGGGCTGGGAGCCCGGGGACAGGGATTGGGTCCACGAGGACTGGGTCTGACCCTCCTAGCCCCCCGCCCGTTCCTCCTCTCAGAAACCGAGCACGTGTCTGCCACCGAGCGCCTCGGTCCGCACGGGGCGCCCCCTCCAGTCCACAGCCACGCAGTGGGAGCCGCTAAGGGGCTCCATCGATTCACGTGTTTCTTCTCTCCGCGTGCAGGGTGGAGACAGCCAGGTACCCAGTCCCCCAGGGCAGAAACCCCGCGGGGCTCAGGGTGGCCAGGGAGCAGGGGCTGGGACCCCGGCGGTGAGAGCAGCACCCCCAGGGGGGAGCATCTCACTCACACTCACACACACACACACACACACACACACGCACGCACACACGCACACACGTGCGCACACATGCACGCACACACGCACACACACTCGCACAGCCCCCGCCTGAGCTTGGCTCCTGCTCTCCGGGGCACACGTGGCGGCCTGGTTGTTGTAAACACCGCTAATTGCCAGGCCTCTGGGGAGGCCTGTTTGCGATGTGCCCTGGGCAGCGTGGGGATGCAGGGAGGGCCCTGCCTGGCAGGGTGGTGCAGCCCCAGGAACCATCAGCCGCACTCACCAAGGATCAGGACAGGACGGGGTGCGACGCTGGGACCCCCTACAGTCAGTGGCCTGGACCGTTCCAGGGGTCATGACCCTCGGCTGACCCAGTTGCTGAAACCCTGGGGCTGCTGGCCAGGCGCTCAGGCATGGAGCCTCGGTCGGGGCATCTGCACCAGACACTGCAGGTGGCATCACAGCGGGGCTGCCCAGACCCAGTGGAGCCCTTAAGTACAACGTGGCCCCAGAGACCAGACCCGTCCCCCCACCCCCGAGGCAGCAGCTGCCGGGAGGGAAGAAGAGAGGGAAGGAGGAGGCAACTCTGAGGGCGGAGACCAACACAAAAGGGCACTCGGTCACTGTCCTCTAACAACAAAGGCTGTGGGGCCACAAACACACGGCACACGGCACATGGCACACCGCACACGGCACATGGCACACGGCACACGGCACACGGCACATGGCACACCACCTGTAACATATGCCCGGGGTTAGTGCCTCTAGACCCGTGGTCGGCAAACTGCAGCTCTCGAGCCACATGCAGCTCTTTGGCCCCTGAGTGTGGCTCTTCCACAAAACACCACGTGTGGGCGCACACGTACAGTGCGATTGAAACTTCGTGGCCCGTGCGCAGAAGTCGGTTTTCGGCCTGGGCGAGTCTACTTTGAAGTGGCATAGGGCACTCAAGGGGCCAAAGAGCCGAGGTTTGCCGACCACTGCCCTAGGGCAAGCTTTTTGTAAGAGGCTGTCTCCGTGGGAAGCCACCCTGGACCACAGTGTGTGCCTTCACTCACAGGACGAGCCGGGAAAGGCCGTTTGCCGCCTGGAGGGGGGTCTGGTCCTGTCTGTGAGGACCGCAGCCCCTGGCTTTCCCGGCCCCTTGGCCGTCCACGGGAGCCCCCGTGCTGCCTCCCAGGAGCGAGCCGGGAGCCACTGCTCCTGCCACTGAGGAGTGAGCCGGGAGCACAGCCAGTCTCCATCCTCCTCGCCCCCCACCCCGGGTCCCTGGGAAAGACTGCAGGGGCACCGCGTCCTGTCCGCTCCTCCTGCACAGCTTCTCCCCGCCCACATGGGGCTCGGCCTCCAGCTGCAGGCTGGTCCGCTGGCTCCTTTTACCAAAGAGCCGAGCAGGGGGGGATACGCCTAGAAGATGTAAAGGACCCCAGTTTCGCTCTGATATCCAGAAGGGCTTGCCCTGAGCCAGTCACACGCCCTGAAGGGGGAAGAGGGAGCCCCAGAGTAGCCAGCCCTCCACTGCCTCAGCCTCCCCTCTGCGGCCCCTGTCCACCGGCCCAGGAGGGGGCTTCCGGCCGTGGGACGGACCCCCCGCCGGCCCTACCTTCATGCCGGTAGGTCATCTCCTGGCAGCCGGAGAAGTACAGGCAGACCAGGGCGCAGAGGCAGAGGAAGAAGGAGAAGTACAGCACAAAGAGCACGTACTCCATGGCGCCCGCCGCCCCGTCCAGCCCCCACCCGCCCCAGGGCACCCCCTTCCCGCAGCCTCTGCCCCTGCGTCCTGAGGACTGGCACGGCAGGGACAGGATGCCAGCTCTGGCGGACTGGCGAGGAGCCGGTGAGTCACACAGCTCAGCTTCCACTGCTGGCAAATTCTCTGGGGCTCCCTCCCACCCCCAGGCTCCCTGTCGCCAGTGCCACCACAGCCCGGTCCCTGGATGGTCCCAGGGGACCCGGCTCAGCCCTAGCAACGGTGACGTCCACCCCGGCCCGGGAGGTGCTGCCGCCTCCTGCACTCGGGGAAGGAGCGTGCTACAACATTTGCACCGACGGAGAAAGTGCTGGGGTTTTACAGAGCACAGTGCTGTGCGTGAACCGGGTCCCAGAGAAGACGTGTCCAAGTCCTAACCCCCTGACTGGCCGACGATTCTCTCTCATCACTGATCTCTCTCTCTCTCTCTCTCTCCTCTCCCTTCCTCTCTCTGAAGTCAGTAAAATCATACACTGAGTGGCCAGATGATAATGATCTCTGAGCGCATAATAATCTGGCCACTCAGTGTGTATCCTATAGAATAAAAGACTAATATGCAAAGTGTCCCCTTGACCAGGAGTTTGACCAACAGGTTGGCCAACAGCCCATGTCCCCTCCCCCTGGCCAGGCTGGCCGGACCCCACCCATGCACGAATTCATACACCGGGTCTCCAACACACACACACACACACACACACTGAGTGGCCAGATTATTAGGCCTTCAGAGATCATCATAATCTGGCCCCTCGGTGTATTTAAAAACAGAAAGCAAGAAGCCAGGAGGCGAGCAGGCCCAGTCTGCATGGAGGTGAAAACTATGTTTACAGGTTTAAACGCAAACTGGGTTTTATTCTCCCGGCCCCCATGTGCTCACACAGGCCAGCTCGGCCCCGGCTGCTCCGTCTTCCAATGCCCGCTCCGCTCCCTCTGCCTGGACACTCACACACTCGCCCCGTCACCCACATCCTCCAGAAGGAACACCGTGCTGCCTCGTCCCCACGCCCCGCAGCCCCCGCCTCCTCGGAAGGGCGGTGAGACGCTGCCACCAGGCCTGAGCGCTCTTTACCCCCACAAGGTCTAATCCTCACGCTCTCCCTTGCGGGGAGCAGCCCCTGAGGCCGAAGCATCCTCAAGTTTCCCACGAAAAGTCACACTAACCGTGTCCACGCCGTCAGTCCCATGCCACGGAGAAGCGGCGGGAACATCTTCTCCGTCACACGTGCAGGACGCGTGTCCCCTCCCCTGGCCCCGCCCGCACCCCCGGGCCCCGCCCCCCTCACTCACCTTGGGCAGCTTCAGGCCTTTCCCACGATGCCTCTTGGGGCGCAGGAGCCGCTCCCGCTCCTGGAAGGAGACACCGCTGTGGGCACGGTCAGCCTCGCCCACCCGCCAGCCTGGCTCTCTGACCAGGACCCCAGAGCCCGCAGCCGGCCTGGTCCGGCCAGGCTCTGACCCCCAGTGGCAGCGGCAGCGCCCGGGAGCCGCCATGCCACCCGGCAGGACGGCGGGGCACCCGGCATCGCGGAGCATCCGGGGCGGACGCACCAGGGAGAGGTCGTCGATGACGTGCTGCTGCTCCAGCACCTGCAGCCGCAGGAACTCGATCTCCTGCTCGTCCCGCGTCAGGCTCAGGTCATTCAGGGACGTGTGTCGCTTCAGGGACGCCTGCGCCGACAGCTTCTCTTTCTGCGCCCAAGGGAGAGAACGCTGCTCAGCCAGGCGGCGAGGACCCGCTGTGCGCGTCCCCGTGAGGACCCACTGTGCGCGTCCCCGCGAGGACCCACTGTGCGCGTCCCCGCGAGGACCCACTGTGCGCGTCCCGGCGAGGACCCACTGTGCGCGTCCCCGTGAGGACCCACTGTGTGCGTTCTGGCGAGGACCCACTGTGCGCGTCCCGGCGAGGACCCACTGTGCGCGTCCCGGCGAGGACCCACTGTGCGCGTCCCCGCGAGGACCCACTGTGCGCGTCCCCGTGAGGACCCACTGTGTGCGTTCTGGCGAGGACCCACTGTGCGGGTCCCGGCGAGGACCCACTGTGCGCGTCCTGGCGAGGACCCACTGTGCGCGTCCTGCTGAGGACCCACTGTGCGCGTCCCTGCTGCGTGTCCCGGTGAGGACCCACTGTGTGCGTTCTGGCATGGAGCGGGGCTCCGGGATATGGGACGGGACGGTGGATGGAGGGGTGACGAACACCTGGTCCCCAAGCTGGAGGAGCGCACGGCTGCCCAAGGACCAAGCCGCAGGAGCGGCTGCCAGTGCCCACCCACCAGGAGATGGTGGGCCCCGGCCCGGACAGACGGACGTCCACACCCAGCCTTGACCACCAGACAGGGAAGCGGGAGGGAGTACTCCTCACACCGGATTATACGCTCACACCTGGACCTGCGAGGGCCAGGAAGAAGGGCATCGCCTCTGAGCCTCAGTCTACTCAGCTGTAAAATGGGGGTGACCTACCCCACCGGCTCATTGGGCAACGAGCCTCAGAGTGCTCTCCGAACCATCTCCGCCAAGACTGCACCCCGACCACAAAGACCCCCCTCGTAGGAGCAACCGAGCATCTATCACTCACTGAGCCTCCCCAGCCGCTGGGTTTTCGGTGCTGTCATCCCGTCCTCCCCACTCCCCACCACATCGTCATTCCCATTCTGCGGATGAGGAAGTGGAGGCGCAGAGAGGAGGTGTGTCTCCGGGCACAGGGCGGGGCTCAAGGGCTCCTGGCGCTCTCCCTCAGGCTCCCTGACTTCCCGGGCCGCAAACACAGTCACCCTGACTTTGTGGGCCGGGGCCTGGGGGGGGGGGTGGGGGGCCGGACCTGCGGCCGGGCTGGTCGCCGCGGCGACGTACCATCTCCACGTTCTCCCTCGTGAGCTTCTTGAGCTTCTCCTCCATGCGCTGGATGCTCTGCAGCAGGTCCTCGTTCTTCTTGCTCATCCTCTTGTTCTTCTCCACCAGCGGCTTCAGCTGCACCTCCGTCTCCCGGGAGCGTTTCAGCTGCGGCCAGAGGACAGGGGCGCCGTGAGCCAGGACGGCTGGCGTCACATCGACACGGGGCTTCCCACCCACACCCACCAAGCTCAGAGGGAGAGGGGAGCACCCCCAGATCTGCCCCAGGGTGCCCTGCTGGCCAGAGGCCTGTGCTGTGTCCACTAGGCCACACTTCCAGAGGTCATGGGTCACATGCATAAAGGTCAATCCCGCTACCCAGCTCCTCCCCAAGCACAGACCTAAGAAGGCTCCGCCCTCTTCAGACAACAGACAAGCCCAGGGCGCCTGGGGGTGGGGATAACTGAGGCGGCTCCAATATGAACAATATAGTTTTGTTCTAGAAACTGTTTGTCCTATGAACCAATGTTCTTGGCAATTAAACATGATCCATATGGTCATTCTTTTTTTGTTTGTTTTTTTTTTGTTAATTCTCACCCGAGATTATTTTTCCATATGTTTTTAGACAGAGTGGAAAGGACGGGGAAAGACAGAGAGAAAGAGAAACATGGATATGAAAGAGACACATCAATTGGTGCGTTTCCCACACATGCACCAATTGGGGCAGGAGATCAAGCCTGCAACCAAGGTATGTGCCCTTGACTGGAATCAAACCCAGGACCCTTCAGTCCAGGGGCTGATGCTCCAACCACTGAGCCTAACTGGCCAGGGCGGCACCGTCATTCTTAATGGCTGCGTGCAATCATTGTGTAAGTGTTCTGTGGTCACTCTGACCAACAGCTGAGCGCCACACAGTGGGGCGTTTTGTTTCGCTTCTGGTTGCTGTTACAAAGGACACCCCATGAGCATCCTCTCCACCCTCTCAGCACTTCTCTCACTGTCGCCAGGATAAACCCTGCAGAGGCCAAGGGCAGGGACAGGCTTCCGTGGCCTGGTGTTCGACCAGAAGGAAACGGGGAAGCACAGAGCCAGAGGCCCCCACATCAGCTTCTGGCCCAGCCAGCCTCTCGGCCCAGCACGGCTCCTGGTACCCCATCTGTCCCCAGGGCCGTTACCAGTTCGTTCCTCTCATCTGCCAGGAGGGTGTTCCTGTCCTCCAACTTCCGGATCACCGAGTTCAGCTCCGCAATCTTCAGCTGAAAGCGCCTCACATCTCGCTCATCCAAGTGCTGATCCTGAAAGACACGAGTGCACGCTGAAGGGCAGGAGCGACTCGGAGCGTCTTAGAGAACTGGCTCCCGGGACCAGCTTCTTAGAGAACTGGCAGCTGCTCGGCGAGGTGGCTCCCCCCCCCCCCCCCAAACACACACACACCAGGCCCCACTGGGGCTCCAGGAGTCCAGCCACAGGGACAGCCTCTCACCAGCAGCCTGCAGAAAGGCTTCCTGTCAAACCCACTGTGGCTCCTGAACCTGGGACCGGGCCTCTGGGGCCTCCGGGTTCGGGCCCCTGTGCCAAGTGCCCTGGCGAGGTGCCAGCACTCCTCAAGGGCAGGCCTGTGTCCACCCCGCTCGTGCGTCTGCACGTAACACGCACGAGACGCTGGGACAGTGAGTGAGTGAGTGAGTGAGTGAACGGATGGATGGATGGACGGATGGTTGCTGCAGCCTGCTCTGGGCCTAGTAAGCACCACGCTGCCACCCCAAATGCCCGTCAGCTGGCTGAGGCCCTCATGTCCCATCTTGGCTGGGTCCCTGTCTGCTCTCACTGCACAGCCTGCACTGATGCTTCACTTTTCTTTTTATCCTCACCTGAGAATATTTTTTCCTTTTTTTTTTTTTTTTTTAGAAAGAGAGAGTGAAAGAGATGCAGGAGGGGAGAGGGAGAGAGAAAGAGAAACATCCATGTAAGAGAGACACATGGATTGATTGCTTCCTGTATGTGCCCTGACCAGGTCCGGGGATCGAGCTTGCAACCGAGGTCCGTGCTCTTGACCAGGAATCAAACCCGTGACCCTTCGGCCCATGGGCCAACGGTCTGACCACTGCCCCACACCAGCCAGGGCCTGATGCCTCCATTTCTTTCTTTTCAACTAGAGGCAAAGCCGCTGCTGTCTACCCCTCTGCTCCAGGCCGAGCAGAGGGGGCGTCAGCGGATTAGCGGAGAAGGGCTGAGAGGAATGGAAAATGGACAGGTGGATGCAGGAGGGAGGGAGGGAGGGAGGGAAGCAGGCCGGCAGGCTGAGTGGAGGGAGAGATGGCCAGGGAAGGGAGGGTGTGGGGCAGCTCTGAGGCCCCGGGGCCTGCCCGAGCCTCACCTGCGCGCCCAGGAGCTCCGCCATGTCCCCGATGCCGGGCGGCAGCTCCCGCTTGGGGCTGCTGTGGTGCCGCTCGGCCTCTTTGACCTGCACCAGCTGCTCATCCAGAGCCTCCTTCTGCAGCAGCAGCCGCTGCGTCTGGCCGGCCTGCACGCCCAGCTCCTTCTCCAAGGCCAGGATCACCCGGTCCTTCCCCTTGATCTCATCCATCTGAGAAGAGAAGGAGGGAGCCGTCCGCTGTGGGGGCTGTGCCGGGGAGGTCTGTCCGTCCCTGGCTGGCGACGGCCCGCAGCTCATGGCCACGGAACACAGTGGGGCCGCAGCCCACGGCCCAGCCCTGCTGCCCGGAGTTTCCAGGACCTAGACAGCCAGCCAGGCACTGGCCTTGGAAATGTGTCTGTGCCCAGGTCTTGTTCACCTTCGTGAAGTCAAACCCTGGCCCTCGGGCCCCTCTGCCCCTCCGCCCTCCACAGCGAGGCTTGTCACGGCGGGCTGCTCTCCTGTCTCCCACTCGCTCCTCAGCCGCTCCTTCTGGGCACAGCCCCCGCCCCGCCACCAAGGGAGCTCTCGCCAAGGTCTCCAGTGCTTCCCGCCCAGGCCCCCTGACAGCCTCCTGTCCTCCAGCCTTCTCCTCAGCAGGACAGAGTCACTCACACACACACACACACACACACACACACACACTCGCTGCTCCAGGACCCTCTCCTGCCCTCGCTGCCCTGGGACACTTCTCAGCTCCTACTTCCTACTGACCTGCCTGGCCCTGGCACTAATGTCTGTGGGTGTGATTGGAAGGAAGAGTTTCGATTCCAGCTGCTTGGAGTTCTCATGCCCCGTGTGCCGAGGCTGGGCTGCCGTACAGATGGCCACGAGCTCAGTGGCCTCAGGCCACAGCAATTCATTCTCTCCCAGCCTGGAGGCCCGACGCCCACTCTCAAGGTGCCAGCAGGCTGCGCCCTCTGACACCCAGAGGGTGCTTCTTGCCTCTTAAAGAGGCTCGGCCCCTTCCAGGCTGTGCCCCTTCCAGGCTGTGCCCCTTCCCCAGGCATCTCTGTCCTCACCCGACAGTAGGCCCCTCGCAGGCAGCTGAGGTCACCACATCTCCTCACCCCGCTCCCTCGGAGCTCCACAATCACGGAAGCCTCTATTGCCTGGTGTTTCTTAAGACCTCACTGTGTCCACACGTGAACCTGATGGCAGCCGCAGGCCATACCCTCAGTCATGTCCAGTGTCCCCAGAGGAAGCCGGGCCCCAGTGCCAGGAACCAATTCCAGCATGTGATAATTCCAGGAGTTCCGTCAAAAGGTTGATGGGACTTGGTGGGCTCAACAAGGATGAGCCACACATGTAGTTTACCTGCAGGAAATGGCTCGGGGGCATTTCCCCCAAACCTGAATAGGACTGTCTGCTGCCAGACAGCTCAGGGCGTTTTATTGCCTCCTGTTGGCCAAACACCTGAACAGCTGTAGGCTATTGCCACACCGACAATGCTTCTGAGCCCTGCCCTTTGAAATGTATTGTCTCCACTTTGCCTTGGGACAAATTGTATCTAATGAATACCACCTGGTCCTAGACAAGGAGAGCCTTTAGTTCCTTCAGCTGAAGCTCCTCTGACCCCCAAGGCCTTTCAAACTATCTTTTGTCTCCGGGACTCTTCAATCTCCTACGCATCCGCCCCTCTCTCCAGAATGCTGCCCCCTTTGTGAGGCTGGGGATGGAACCCAGGCCACACAGTTCAACTGTTTCTGGACACAGAGCCGGCAGCTGGGACACTGCCCAGTAAGGACACTGTGCTGGGGTGCTGTCTTCCCAACGCCCAGTCCAGGTCCGTCCTCGGACCTGCGCTGTGCCTCATTCGGAAACAGGGCTGTACGATGCTGTCGCTCTGGGTAAGGGGGTCTTTGTGACTGGTGTCCTGTAAAAGGAGAGGGACACACAGGCGCACCGCAGGGGGCCTTGTGGAGATGGCGGCAGGGACCCGAGTGACACGGCCACAACTCGGCCATGACAAGGTGGCCGGTGCCACAGACACTGGGATAGGCAGGAAGGATCCTCTGGCATCAGAGGGCACAGCCTGCTGGCACCTCAGGTGTGGGCGTCGGGCCTCCAGCCCTGGGAGAGAATGAATGGCTGTGGCCCGAGGCCCCTGAGCTCTGGGCCATGTGTACGGCAGCCCAGCCTCGGCTCACGCAGAGTGAGAGCTCCAAGTGGCCGGAATCGAAGCTCTTCCTTCTAATCACACCCGTGGACGCACAGGCCGCCAGGGCCTGGGACCCTGGTCCGGTGTCCTGCCCGCCCTGCCCGTCCGTCCTGCTGTGGATCCTGCACAGGCCGCCACCTGACTAGCTTCAGCCTCTGTAACACGGGGACCCTGAGAACATTCTAGAACCTACTCTGTCCAATTGCGGGGAGATATACTGTAGATCAGCCGCGGAACGAATTTGGCACGGAGCCTGGCGAATTATAACCATCACTCTATGTTAGCTGCTGGTTAACAGAAGGCCATCTCACTTAAACAGCAGGCCATTAAAAACCGATACAACATAATTGAGATTATAGGGGGGAGATGGTGCCCCCCAAATCCAGACGGGGAGCTTTTCACACAAAGCCTGCTGTTCCCACAGCTCTCCGAGTCGCCTTTCTTTGGAGGAGAAACTCATGCCTCCTTTCCCTTCAGATCCCCAACCTCCCCCACGACACGCCCACGGCGCCCCCTGGTGGCCATCCTCCAGCAGCGCCCGCGCTGGCCAGGGCCTCTGCCTGGACTCCCAGGAGCACCTCCCCGGCTGCAGGGAGCAGCTTAACCCCGGGCACCAGGGCAGCCACTGAGAGCCAGCCGGAGCCGTCAGAGCCACGAGAGAGGAGGGCGCTAATCAAACAGGCAGGTATCTGAGCTGCCGTCAACCCAAGTACTGAGCTGGGAAACATCGGAGCAAACCCAGGGAGGGAGGCAGCCGCGCGCAGAACAGGTCAGCACGGTGGTGGATGGGAGTGACCGGAGCTGGGAGCAAGGACACGGCAGGGCCGGGCCAGGGGGCGGTGCTGCAGGTTAACGCCCTCCTCTCTCGGCTCTGACGCTCCGGCTGGCTCTCAGTGGCTGCCCTGAAGCTGCTCCCTGCAGCCTCCCAGGGAGGTGCTCCTGGGAGTCCAGGCAGAGGCCCTGGCCAGCGCGGGCGCTGCTGGTGGATGGCCACCAGGGGCGCCGTGGGCGTGTCCTGGGGAAGGTTGGGGAGGTGGAGGGAAAGGGGAGCCGTGGGAACAGCCGTGGGAACAGCCGGCAGAGAAGGGCAGGGAACCCTGAGGGCGCCCAGCCACCCCCACCCCGGCGCCGGAGGCGAGCCGCTGCGTGACCACCCAGGGACCGCGCCTAGGAAGGAGGGACCCGCTGGCAAAGCCTTCCTCCCCCCAAGACGGCGGGTCTCCGCCGGAAGCCCGGTGCCAGGGCGCTGCCCGGAGCGCAGTGTCCTCGGAGCTGCGAGGTCACTGCGGGGAGGGGGGGCAGCGCGCGGGGCAGGAGAGGGCGGCGAGCCGGCAGGGAGGGCCGGGTACCAGCCTGGGGGCGGAGCATGTACCAGCCTGGGGGCGGAGCATGTACCAGCCTGGGGGCGGGGTGTGTACCAGCCTGGGGGCGAGGCGTGTACCAGCCTGGGGGCGGGGCGTGTACCAGCCTGGGGGCGGGGCATGTACCAGCCTGGGGGCGGAGCATGTACCAGCCTGGGGGCGGAGCATGTATCAGCCTGGGGGCGGGGCGTGTACCAGCCTGGGGGCGGGGCGTGTACCAGCCTGGGGGTGAGGCGTGTACCAGCCTGGGGGCGGGGCGTGTACCAGCCTGTGGACGGAAGTGGGGGCCACCTACCAGCCGGCGGATGTCGCGCTCACACTCGCGCTTGATGCGGTGCACCTCGTCCTGGTGCTCCTGGTAGGCGGCGCGCAGGTCGGCCGCCTTGGCCTTGTCGGCCTGCACGCAGTGGCTGAGCGCCTCCTCCGCCTGCTTGCGCGCCGCCTTCTGCTCCAGCAGCTCCTGCTGCAGCCGCAGCCGCTCGCCGTCGAAGCCCCTGCGCGCCTCCTCGCGCGCCTCGGCCAGCAGCGCCGTCTTCACCTTGTCGGCCGCGCCGTCGCGCAGCACGTTCAGCGTGGCCTGCAGCCGCTGCAGCTCGCCCTCCCTGATCTTGGCCGTGCGCGCCGCCTCCTGCTCGTGCTGGCGGATGAGCGCCTCGCGCAGCGCCTGCAGCTCCTTGGTCTTCTCCTCGTGCAGCTTGGCCCGCAGCGCCGAGAGGTAGGCCGTGTGCCGCCGCTGCTCCTGCTCCCGCTCCAGTTTGGCCTCCTGCAGCCGCTCGCGCAGCTTGCCCACCTGCAGCGGGGAGAGTGGGCCAGGGCCAGGGGCAAGGGCAGGGGCAGGGCTGAGGAGCCAAGCCATGCCCCGTGGAAACCTCCCCAAGTACCTTTGTGCCTGCTGTCCCTGAGCCCCTCCCTGGTCCCCACTCTCCAGTTCCCCTGCAGCCACCCCCTGGTTCGGACCCTGACCAGCCCCGCCCAGGCTCCTTGCTGCCTTGCTCCGGAGAGACGTGCCCTGGAGGTGGGAAGCAGCTGCACGTGTGGGAGAGGAGCGGAACCTCCCTCCATCCAGAGATTTACAAGGAAGGACAATGTATCCGTCACGAACGTGCCCATAACGCTGAATAAATCTTAAATCAGAAAGAAGTTTGCAGGGCCGTGACTGGGCTGAGCTAGAGAAGACAGGCAGGTGGAGGTAGGGAGGGAGGGGAAGAGGAAGAGGGGGAGGAGAAAGAGGAGGAGTGGCTCCTGCGGACTCTGGAGGGAGGTTTGCCACGGGGCTGCCAAGGGGCGGAGCCAGGCTTCACCCCAGGCGCCTGGCCGGAGCTGGTGTCCCCAGGTGCCAGGCGCCAACCCTCCTGCATATATTTGTGCGTCCAGTACACAATTAAAAACATTATTTGTAAAACGACCAGTGGTCGGCAAACTGTGGCTCTCGAGCCACATGTGGCTCTTTGGCCCCTTGAGTGTGGCTCTTCCACAAAATGCCACGGTCTGGGCGAGTCTATGTTGAAGAAGTGGCATTAGGAGAAGTTTAAGTTTAAAAAATGTGGCTCTCAGAAGAAATGTCAATTGTTGTGCTGTTGATATCTGGCTCTGCTGACTGAGGAGTTTGCTGACCGCGCCCTTAGACTGATTAACAGAGTCAGCAGACCTGGAGAAAGCGATGGCCCTCCATGATGGGGTGGGGGGGCGCACCCAGTCAGGTGAGGGCCCAGCCAGGGGGGTCAGCCTCCTGCGGCCCCCAGACTCAGGACCGCGGGGGCAGCTCCTGCTGGGGTCTCCGCCACCGGCCTCCACAGGCGTGAGGAACCTCTGGACAGTCCCTCTCCTCCCCCGACCACACGTGTGTGTGTGTGTGTGTGTGTGTGTGTGTGTGTGTGCGCGCGCGTGTGTTATACGTAAAATCTCCTGCTGGTTCTGTCTCTGAAGAATTCTGAGTGTGCACCCTCCCACAGCTTCCTGCTCGTCTCCTGGGAAACGGTGGCCACAGGGCTGTGAGGATGCTGGGAGGAGGGGAGCGGAAAGGGAAGAGATGCAGGAAGGGTGGGCACAGGCGGAAAGGAGGCGGAGGTAGAGGGGGGGCAGAGGTGTGTGCGGGGCGGCCGGGCAGCCAGCGGGGCGGGCCAGGGGAGAGGAGTCTGGGCTGGGAGAGTGAGGTAGCTGGTCCGGGGTCACAGGAAGATGGGGGGGCTGGGGTTCGCCCCTGATGTTGGCCTTAGATGGGTGGGGTGCCCACTCCGACACAGCCCGGCGGCAGTGTGCCCCGGAATCCACAGCCGTGCTGTGTGGAGGGCCCGCGCACCTTGCTCTTCTCCTGCTGGAACTCGATCTGGATGCTGGTCAGCTTGGCCCGCAGCTCCTCGTTGGCCACCTGCACGGCGTCCGCCTCCATCTCGGGCTTCTCGCCCTTGCTCCGGCCCTTCTTAGACATGCTTCCTCCCGGGAGGTGCCGAGAGCCCGCGCTCACGCCCGCCAGCCCGCGGGCACCGCCGCCAGCTCCGCCGGGCCCGCCCGCCGCGCAGGACTCTGCTCGCCCTCCGTGGAAACCAGCATCACTCGGGAGCCTGTGGGAGCAGAAAGCGGGTTAGCAATGAAATCCAGGGCCAGCGCCTTCCCGCCGGCCCCACTCCCCAGCCCCTCCACACCCTCACCTGGCGCTTCTCCGCCAGGCTGCACCAGAACCACCTGGAAGCCAGTTAAGGCGCCAAGGCCTAACCCATTCTCCCCCCCCTGCCAGCCTGAGAGGACACCTGAGTGCCCCGCAGACTGTGGTCTGCAAATGTCAGTGGGCTCAGCCCCGGGCGCCTGGCAGGGAAGCGGGTCCCAGAGGGCGCAGAGCCTAGGACTTGGCAGGGCCAGGGAACCCGGAGTCCCTCCCACCCGCCCAGCTGCTTCTCGGCCAGGGTCTGAGGAGCAGCTCGGAGAAACGAGTGTCCCCCCTCGGACGCGGCACTTCCACCGCCTGGAGGGGAGGCGGAGGGGCCTTCGCCTGGGATCTTTATTCCGGGATCCACAAAATGCTGGTAAAAACGTGACGTCGGCCCCCAGACCACAAAGGCCCACCCCCTCTGATGAGCAGGAAGTCCGGCCCGGCTGTTGGAAGGGCTTTCTCTGCCAGCTTCCTGCTCATTGCACCCAAAGACGTGAAGGGAAGCCCACTCTGGGAGCTTAGAGCAGTTTATTCCATAACGGACACGTGTACTTAATTGGCCCTTAAAATGTCTCTCCCCCCCTCGCCAGGTGGCATCGGTTGGAGCGTCACCATGTGCACTGGAAGGTTGTGAGTGCAATTCCCAGTCAGGGCACATACCTAGGTTGGGGGTTCAATCCTGGCCCCCGTCGGGGGGTGTGCAGGAGGCAACCAATTGATGTTTCTCTCTCACATCAAAGTTTTTCTCTCTCTGTCTCTCTCTCCATCCTACCGAATAATAGAGTCATATGCAAATTAAGCATCACTCTGCTGCCCCCACAGGTCATGCCCACCAGCCAATGAGAGCACGTATGCAAATTAACCCAACAAAGATGGGGGTTAATTTGGATACACAGAGGGAGGGAGGAGTGAAGACTGAGACAGCATAGAAGGAAGAGGGAGGAAAGTGGAAAGCAAGGCGGCTGTGCCTGCTGGAGGGCAAGCACTGGCAGCGCATGCAGGGAAGGACTGAACGAGGCAGCATCAGGGGTGGGCGTGGCGGGTCGGATGTGTAGGGCAAGGCAACCAGCTGTAGGGGCGGCGTGTGCAGCCGAGGGGACAGTGGTGGGAGAGGTGGGGGGGCAGGAGAGGTGGCGGTGGCGAGAGGGAAGCCTGCCAGAATTCTTGCAGGTACCGTATTTTCCGGCGTATAAGACGACGCCCTAATTTCACAGTTAAACCATAGGGTTAGGCCTATATTCGCTGTATAAGACGACCCCCCACTTCCGAGGCAACACCAGTTCTTTTTTTAATAGACCGCCTCTCTGACTCTGGCCAATCCGAGCAGGCTTTTTATGCATGCAAATTATACATGTTCTGCACCCGAAGCTACACTGTGTTCTAGTAAAAAGCCTGCTCAGAATGGCCAGAGTCAGAGAGGCAGTCTATTAAAGAAAGAACTGGTGTTGCCTCGGAAGTGGGGGGTAGTCTTATACAGCGAATATAGGCCTAACCCTATGTTTTAACTGTAAAATTAGGGGGTCATCTTATACGCCGGAAAAATACGGTATATTCCTGCAGCGGGTCCTGAGTATATATAACAAATAAAAACACATCCTGGGGTGAGGATTTTAAAAAATCTCTCTGGGCGCATGCCTTTGGTCCCTACAGTGTGTTGAAGTCTGATCCCATCATGCTGGCTTATGAAGTCCAAGCTCAGCAGCACTTGGGGGTTTATTCTCTGGAGAGAATTCCCACAGGGAAGAGTCAGACGCGGTGGCCATGAAGTGCAGTGCCATCTGAATGGTAGCTAGCAAGGAAGGGGAACTGGCCTGCGGGGGCCAACGTCAGGGCGCGGCTGAATAAAGGACCACACCCCAGCCTGCCCGGTCAGCCTGGGGCAGACCTGCACCTGGGCTCCGCAGGCAGGGGAGAGTCGGGTTTGGCAGGGCCTGGGAGACAGGGGGGGACGGGGCCTGGGAGACAGGGCCTCGGCAGGGTTGGGGAGACGGGGCGGGCCCTCTCTGTTCACCAATCCGCACCGTGATGATGGTTTGGTGCTGCAGCCATGGTTGCTGCAGCACTGCTGTGCAATCAGCCAATCAAGTGACGGGGAGATGGTGCTGGAGTCTCACTGAGCATGAGCCGAAAGCACCCAGTGATGTCCCACCCACCCGGGCGTGTCGGAGTCAGAAGGAGGGAATCCGTGTGGCCGTTTGTAGGCACCCCCTCCGCGGGGTTGCTGGGGTAGTAAATGGCTTATGTGAGTGAAGGCCGTGGCAGTTCCTGGCACATAGTGATGCTCAAAGCTGCCAGCTGCTGCCGCCGCCTCCTCCTCCTCCTCCTCCTCCTCCTCCTCCTCCTCCTCCTCCTCTTCCCAGCAGGCACGCTCTGCTGGACTGGCTAATAGCGAGCACAGCTGGCCCAGGACTTTCCCGCGGATCCATCAGAGGGGCAGAGTGAGGGGAAGGGGCAAAGCCAGGTGACTTCCAGGGGACCAAGACCTTTTCCCTGCAGCCTCTCACGTCTTCCAAAAAAAACTGAGCCAGCCCGGCATTAGGAGAGCCAGCCCTCCAGGCAGCCTGCCCGAACCCAGGGCTCCCCTGCCCTCCACAGTTGCACCAGCAGATGGCGCTAAGCTGTGCCCTGGAAGCGGGCAGCCAGGAGCTGGCCACAAGGGAAGGACTGGGAGACGCTAACCCCCAGCTCCAGCGGATATTCAAGAGCAGGACTCAAGGATTCCTGATTAGATTTAGCAGAAACTGGTCTTTGTGTGAAATCTCCCCATCTATGTGTTACACACTAATTCAAAAAAATATGTTTAAATATTGTGCAGCCCAAGCAAAACACATCTGTCCTCTCCACAAGAACCCCTCCTCCACCCCCCACTCCTGGCCATCAGCATCTCTTCTTCTTTATAAAATATATTTTATTGCCCTGACCGGTTTGGCTCAGTGGATAGAGTGTCGGCTTCTATCAATATTTTATTGATTTCAGAGAGGAAGGGGGAGGGAGGGAGAGAGACAGAAACATCAATGATGAGAATCTTTGATTGGCTGCCTCCCACACACCCCACTGTGGGGATCAAGTCCATAATCCAGGCCTGTGCCCTGACCGGGAATCGAACCGTGACCTCCTGGTTCATGGGTCAACGCTCAACCACTGAGCCACACCAGCTGGGCTTTCAGCACCTCTCGTCCGTCCTTCCAGTAAGTAACAGGAAGCCCAGGGGATGCCTGCTCCCCTCGGGTGGCCCCTACAGTAGAAAGCACTTCCTAGTTCAAGCCAAAAAGAAACTCACAGACAGAGAAGGGCCCCCTGATAACTTCCGCTCCTTCCAGCACTCAGCGCTGCCCCAGTGAGCCCATTCTCCCCGCCAGACTCCAGAACACTCCCCCAGCCCCTCTGCTCCCCATCCGCCTTGCACAGGACAGTCTCCGGTAACCCTCTCAACAACAGTAGGATACGGGTACTTGTGGGAGGCCACCCGTGGTCCTCACCATCAGACAAGTGTAAAAAGGAGCCCGGAACGATGGTGAACCGGGAGCCCTGGCAAGGGCCAGCGCTATGCATTATTTAGTCCATAATTGTTTCATCCAGACAATGGGGGCTCAAGCAACTTCCTGACCAAATGGTCTCAGAGTAAATCTTTACTAATATTTACTGACCTTTAAGATAGTCTGTCTGTTGCCAGAATTGCCTGCCTGCCTGCCTGCCTGAGGGCAATATGTATACCGAAAATTGAATAAAAGGTTGGCAGGGCCTGGGCACCAGGGAAGCCCTGGGCACTGGGGACTCTCCGCCTGGACCCCAATTTCCAAATGATCATTTCTTGTCTCGTCTCTGTCATTTGCACATGGCCCTTCTCCAGATCCCGCACCCTGAACCACGCGGGACGTGGCTCACACAGGTACTATCATTGCCCCCATCTTCTGGATGGAGAGACTGAGGCCAAAGACAGTAACTTACCCACAGCCACGTGGTTAGAAGAGAGCCGGGCAGACGTGGACTCAAACCCCAGGTCAGTCCCTCAGACCTGGGTAAGTAGTCTGAGTCCTCTGGGCCTCAGCTTCCCCAGCTGTGAAATGGAGATCTCTCTCCCTCTGGGCCTCAGCTTCCCCGGCTGTGAAATGGAGATATCTCTCTCTCTGTGCAGCTCAGCGAGTGGGAGCTGTCCATGCGGACGGCAGGCACTGGCTTTCTGTGCACAGGGGCACGGGCACCGAGCTCGGGGCAGGCTGAGCTCGGGACGAGACGGAGGAGGGAGCCGTGGGAATCTCAGCGGACGCCAGGTCTCCACGGGGCCTGGGGTTCGTCCCTCAGCGGGAGAGCCAGCTGGTGGCAAAGTGCTCCTTCCACAGAGAGAAAGAATGGGCGCATTGTGTGCCGGGCACCCCCAGCTCCCGAGCACGCGGCCATGTGCCCCTCCTCCCGCCATCCGCTCTGCGGCCGTCCCCACGGGCAGAGCTTCGGCCAAATTCCCTCTGGAGTCCTCCCAGTGCCCCCACCGCTGCCACCTGCAGCCTGGCCATCTGCCTCCACTTCCTGGCGCTCAGTGCCAACTCTCCAACCCCACTCCCCTCCACTGGCCCCACCGACTCCCCCATCCCACAAGCCTGGATCTGCCTCTGGGTCTCCAGCTGCCCGAGGGGCCAGGCTCTCTCCTCCCTGACCCCAAACTCCTCCCGAGACTTCCACAATTGCTCCAGCGAACCCACGGCAACCTCCAACAGGCTGCCCTGGCCACTTGGGGCTGCATCGCCCACCGACTTGTTCTGCCCAACCGTGCATTCATTCCACTC